GTATTTAACTACAAGCCAAAAATAAAAATAAAAAATTGTTAAATGCTCTAAATCTATGTAGTAATGCATATTCATGTATACATATTATTTATATTAACATATTAAAATATTTGAATGTATTGTATGAAATATCACAGTGGTTATATAATATATTATATAATAAGTAAAATATAGTTTTAATATAAAATGTATATTACGTGAAATATCATATATATTATATATAACTATATAGCCAATAGATAATTCATATTGAATTATATATTATATAAACATGTACTAATATATATAATATATGAAATATAGTTATAAATCTAATAAATATTCAATAGATATGTTTTTGTTGTTTATGTTGTTGTTTTTCTGGTACAAAAAATACAATTAAAAATAGAGAAATGCACATCACAATTTAACTACATAATCTGTTTTTTTTAAAAGAGAGCTATAATGCCACACAAAAACTTGAATCTGTCAATCAATTTTCAGATTGACTACATTCTGCATGTCAAACATATGAATTAAAGGTGCACCTGTGAACGTGCAACAAGGGAGCATTTGGAAAAAGAACCAGGTATTTTCTCTGCACCACATGACGTTGTCATGGGAATCTCTGAACCACGTCTTCATAATTAATGGAACCCTCAGGACACACTCATCCACAGTCATGTTGAAGTTCTCGATCTCACGCCCCATGAGTTCCCAGCATGCCGCCACAATATCACAAACACTGTTTTCTGACAGCGTGTTTTTTATAGACACAAGCATATGTTACCAATTGCAGAACCTTGTTAATGGCCCTCCTAACAGACAAAACAGCTGCATTTTATATCACACAAAAAGTTGCACATCAAAGCAGGGCTTGAAGCGGAAAACAGTTGAGATGGGCTCAACTGGAGGACTCAGGAAAGACCCTATATGCAGCTTGTTGATAAGGATCAATACGTGTCAAAGAGGATACAGGAGATGGATGAACATAGGGATTGATAACACAAGGGAGCGGGCTGGGTTTTAATACACTGCCAGATGTGTTGTTAAGGGTCTCACATGACCACAATTAAAGGGGTTTTTTTTGCACACATTCAACCCACACGTCCTCAAAGGATGTAAGAGAGCTCGGTAACAACAGGCCACCCATGAAATTGCACCAGCATCCCTGTTATTGTAATTTCATTTGGCTAAACGAGTAGGCAATGTGTGGGTGTAATGAAATTAGGGTGTAAATGACATCTTCAGCAGGCTGGATAACGACCGTCTGCACAAAACGCTTGGAATGTTTTGACATGATTCTAAGAAATACATATCATTTCCGCACATTCCAAATATGACATGTTATGACTCTGCAAAGTGAAGGTAAAAGTTACACTGCGAGTTATGAATTAAATCTCATTTTGGTCAACAAGCTTTGCTGCGATGGAACAAACGTCTGACACGGCTAACATAGGACGAAAAGCAAGAAAGCAAACTGGGGAATGCACAAAAAGCCAAATGGCTTCTTGCAACAAACAAAAAGTTTACCGAGAAAAAGGCTCTCAGGAATGTTTGTCATTCTCTCTCAGTTGCTATCTAGCTTGTTTTTTTGTGGGTTATTAATTTTTTTGGAGGGATGTTGCCACTTACGCTGCCAACATCCACTTAGTGTCAGCCGAGATTGCTATTTTCCTATTGCCATAAAGCTCTTTTCAATAACAGGTTACAAATAGGCATAGGCCGCATATGTAAGGCAATTATTGTTGTTTTGAAAACAAGACAAAACACAGCAAAACTTGAAACAATTTACCTTGCATTTAGAATGATTCGAAATAAGAGGTTAAAACAGGTTCCAGTCAAGGCTCTTGCAGATCTTGGCTCGAAAACGTAGCTCCAGTTCACCCTATTCCTGCTTATTTCTCTGTGTGTCCATCAAGTAGGATGGTGTAATCTTTGATCATGCCCCTAATGAAGTAAAACTACATTTTGGTTTTTGTTAAACTTCAGCTGGTGTGGGAAAACAGCTAAAGCACGGCACTGAGAAGTCAGACTCCCATCAGTCACTAGTTTTGATGCATCTCTAACTATCCACACCTCTGACCCGGTCTGCAGACTGACAGAAACACTCTGCCCAAGTATTTCGTGCATGGCATCAATGAAACGAAACAATCCAAGCTACTAGATTTGAGTTGTCTTACAACATTCAATTCAAGCACAGACTTTATCACAACAGTCTGGGTGCCTCACTGTGTCCATTCAATAAAGCATATTTACTACCTCAATAGCTTAATGCACCTTGACACTGATAGCAATATTTATACCCAGATTAATACCTCATTAAAACATTAATACCCAGATGTTTTTAATGCACAATCATATGAACATAATGTGCAGTTGTTTTACAACAGAAACCTATACAAAGTGAGGCTTTGCCCACCACAAGTCGCCTGATGCATTTCTGACTAAAACCTCCTATTGTATTTTAATATCATAAAAGTTGACGTCTTTGGGAAGACTATGTCCACTTTTATGATATTAAAATACCATACTATTTAGTCTAATTAATTAAAATTAAAACATAAATCGGTTTAAATGCTACTAGAAGCATCACAAAATGATCAATGTACAGGATGAAAAATTATTTTGAGATTTGTTAAAGATTTCTTTTTTTAAGTGTTATTGAATTATTGGTGTTTTTAAAGATTAACTTTCTTAGAACACTAAATGTAATTTAGTGTCCCCCCCCTTTTTGAGCGTAGATGTGAAAATGCAATCCAAACTATCCAAACTTAAATGGCTGCGGATCGTGCATGCTTTGGAATACAGAGCTAAGGTCAGTCTCCTTTTAAAGAAGACACTCCGAAGATTATTGTTGAAGTGAAAGCACATAAAAAAAAAACTAAAGTGTAAAAAAAATAGAAGTTTAATTTTACTGTAAAACAAATGTACTGTATTAAAGATTTTATTTTGATGGTCCCCTTTGCACATTCTGTTGACTATAAGAAAAGTTGCACCTAACTCTCATTAGAGTATTAGAAGACTGTCTGCTTAATATCGAATAACACTTCATTGTGATGCTCCCCCTATAGACATTCGACTGACTAGAAGTAACATTGCAAGTACATGTCAACTTATTCTAACCCTAACCCTACCAGTCTGCTAATATTAGGGATGCACGATGATATCGGGACAACATCGGTATCGGCCGATAAAAGCTTAAAATGACCATCATCGGCATCGGCCGATATGAATATTTCTGCCGATGAGCCTTGCCGATAGGGTGGCGTGTTTCCTATGCGCACGTGACGCGAACGAAGCATGAGCGCCAGCAACTTAAACTTCCAACTAGGGGTGTGCGTCTCACGGTTTTTGATCGTGGACGATTAAAATGTCTCCACGATCTGCTTTTGAAGAAAAATCATAGTATCGTGCATTCTATCAGTTCAATTCTGGCGCCTTCATCTCAACATACTGTACAACACGACGTACATTCACATCACATGTAAACGCAGAGGTAGAGTTACACTCACGGTCACGGGACACCGCAATTCACAAAAGTTCATTATTTGCATGTGCGTCAAAGTCTTGCTAGGTAAACATGTCCTTCACGTGCTGATGCGCTGTTCTAACATCCGCTTTTCTGAGCGCGTACACCCGATGCTCACAGGAACTAAAAGTCTGTCACAGAGTCTGCATACTGGACTAATCTTTCGAGTCTTATTGCGCTGATACTGTCAAATACACACACGGTTTACATAAACAAAGTTGGTTATGTCTAAAGTGAAAGCAAACAGAGAAAATCTGCTTGTCAAATGCGTGTATATTAGACGCGTCGCGTGCAGTTCTTAAAGAGACAATGCTGCTGCTTGTCCTTAAAGAGACACTGCACCCAGAAATAAAAATTCTGTCATTATTTACTCACTCTAATGTTGTTCCAAACCTGTATTCATTTCTTTCTTGTGCTTAAATATACTATGGAAGTCACTGAAGTACAGCAACTGTTTGGTTAGCCACATTCTTCCAAATAACTTTTATAATTTCAACAGAAGAAAGAAACTTGAGAGAGTAAATGATGACAATTTAAATTTTGGGGAGAACTATCTCGTTAATGTTAATAAAACAACAAAACACAAAGAGGAAATCACACACTGCTCTTGACTGAGAACTTTAATAGAAGCTTTAATAAGCTTTTTTTGCACTTAAAAAAAACACACAAATATATCGGTATCGGGCAAAATTAGTCTGAAAATATCGGCATATCGAATATCGGCCAAAATCCTATATCGTGCATCCCTAGCTAATATTATACTAACACTCTTATGAGAGTTAGTAGACAGTTAGGTAACTTTACTCATAGTCAACAGAATGTGTAAAAGGGACCAAATAAATGTCAAAATAAAGTGTAACCAACATTTTTTACTTTATACAAAATATTATTACTCTAAAATTGCAATAAAATCAAAGCCATATGTCCAACCAAGTTATGTTCCAAATTTGAAGTTGATATCACAAAAACTGAAGTTCCTATGAGATTTTGTTTAGGCGCTATACCAAAAGGTTTAGTCTATTTCTATTAGCTTGTGATAGGAGGAGGAGGTATGACTTCTTCAGGGAGTTAGAGATGATGTGGCTGAATAATATATATCTTTGCCCTAAGGTTAAAGCATATTAAAATGGTTTATGCATTGATAAGACCAAAATAAAACATGGCTGCACTCTGATTTACCATTGATGTGACAAACAGAAAGTAAGTCAAGAAGTCACGACTGTGTAAAGCAATGAGATTTTGAAATTGTATTTCATAGTCAGTTATTTTACTGCATGCAGTTCTCTGGTCAGAATAAACATCCACAACAAAACACCCATCTGTTTAATTACTAATTCATCTTTCTTAATTAATATTAGAAATAATAATAATACATTTCAATACATTATTATTATTATTTTATTTTATTTAGATCTTAATAATCATAGTCAATGTTTCAGATCAAAAGGCCTAAAGTCATGGGTTAGTGGAGGATAAAATTCAAACTCACTCAGTGCTATCTTCGCTAGGTGGAACCGGTTGACCCAGGAGATCTTGCTGACAGGGCTTGGTGTGTTGAAGACCACAGTGAAGCTTACAGGACGCCCAGACCTACAGTACATGAGAAAAACATTGGACAGGTGGTGAGATACATTGATCTATCCAACATGGGCTCATTGCTATGGCCCTTTGAGGAAGATAATCTTGTCAAATTTCCATAAAACACATCACAACATGGTGGCACCTTAATTATCAGTATTAATAATACAGTAAAATAGTTTTTCTGCAGTGCACCAAGGAGCCCTGGGGAGAGCAGCTGCCACTCTCCCCAATACAGCTTGATCTCAAGCTGAGTCTGGATCTGTGTGCTGAATTTTATTAATCAAATTTTTTTTTTTTTTTTTATGAAGTCTGTGCTTAGAGGAAAAAGCAGACAGTAGAGAAGGAGGAATGGAGATCCCCACAACTGCACCAATATGATATTTTTTCTTCTTAATTAAATCAAAGAGCCAGTATGAAGATCTGAGATCTGTGGATGTGGTGGCATGGAGGGTTATGTGGGGAAGGATGGAGAGTGTCAGGCCTGTGAGCTTGCTGAGTTCATCTGCATTCTGAGCCAAGATGTTTAGCCAGGTTAATGGACCAGAACTTTTCAGCAATTCCTTCTACAAGGGGGGAATGAGCGAGCATGACTGAGCACCGTGTGCTTCTGGATGGGATGAGGTTCTTAATATGAGTTATTGAAGGAGATTGGCCATAAGAAATCCATCTGGAGTTGACTTTGAAGAATGACAGTTTAAAATTGAAAATGTGATTCAATTTCTGGATTCGATCATTATAAATTCTGTTATCCGAACCTCAGATATACCCATAGTAGGGGAAAGAACAGTTGTGCTCATAAGCTCATAAGTACATACCTTTTGCAGAAGAAGTCAAACATCTACCATTATTTATAAATGCTTCAGAAATCATAAATATCTAAAACAAAAACTATGTATATTAGAGGTGTCGATTTAACGCAACAATTTGGTGCAATTATGGAAAAAATAATGTGTTAAAAGACCCAGCCTCGGCCTAGGCATGTACGTCATCTTACATTGCATGCAGTTTAGTTACTGTTTTTGCTCAATTTTGCCAATGAAAATAGTTCCAAACAAAGCCACAGTGAGTGTACTGTTGTGCGTCTTTGAACAGCCACACAGTGGTGTTTCATTACTGAAAGTTGTATTGAATCGAGTGAGCCAATAGCTCAGTGAACCATTTATAAAGATGGTCACTTGCTTAGCTCCTCGATGAATCAGCCATTTGAATGAATCGGTTGAATGAATGACTGAAAGACTCACTTATTAAGACAGTGACTAGCTGCCTCATACTGGCAGATTTTAGTTTATTATTTAGAGTACTTTTCATTCATTTTAAGTGTTTTCAGTTGCATTTCTATCTATTTTTGCACTTACATCCAATTTTTCACATAACACATATCTAATTTATTTTAAATTTAAATGTATTTATTTTAAAATGAGGGTATTTAATCTGTTAAATTGAAAATAATTCAGTCAGAAAACAGCGTGCGAGGAACAGAATGAGCTCCCTTCCCGTCTTCTAGGCTTCAGTATTTAAATGATCAAGGCTTAAACTTTAGTGACTATGAAGCACTGGCCCGCCAACTGTCCCGAGCGTCGTTCACATGCATGCATTGTTAGAATTCATACAAGAACCGTTGGTTCTAAAAATAATGTATATACTGTGTCACCCCCTTGAGCATTAATGGCTGCTGCAGCCTTTTTATTAATTTGGGACATTTCAAATCATAAATGTTACTTTTTAAATTTCAGAAATTAGAAAAAAAATCTCAATGCTTTTTTCCAGATCAATACTGTACAGTCGAAACAGTAGGATCATGCTTAAGTATTTGTGTTCCCAAAAAAGCCTTTGATGAAATGGTTCTTAAAAATAACCTACAAAGAAACTTTAGTGCAATGGAAAGGTTCCATGGATGCCCAGTAAATGGCACGTCATGGAACCATTGACGCAAACAAAAGCATCTAGTTGAGATAAACAGTTATTTGAATATAATTGCTGCGCTTGAATTGAATGTTATAAGGGAAGTACTACATTAAAAAACTATTTTAGTTTTTATGATTCCTCTTATTAAAAAAAAGAAAAAGTGTGGAGTGCGGTTTACGCAAGCAGTACATAAACCTATGAGCTGAACAGTAGTTTTGCACTCACCTTAACACAGCTGTCCAGGCCTTCAATGAGTCAGGAACCCATTCGACACTTGTAAAAATACTTTGACTTCATTTCTAACACTTTGCCGGCTAAAGAGAGTATCTCAGCAAAGGCTCAGGGACATGGAAAGCAATTCACCATTCAAACATCATTAGAAGGTAATTGACTGGAGAATACGATGACGCCTGCCTTGGCTACTGTCACACCAGCAGCCTCTGCCTGCTCTGCATTCAATCCAGGCCAGAGAGAGAGAGAGAGAGAAGAGAGAGAGAGAGAGAGAGAGAGAGAGAGAGAGAGAGAGAAGAGAGAGAGAGAGAGGAGAGAGAGAGAGAGAGAGAGAGAGAGAGAGAGAGAGAGAGAGAGAAAGAAAGAAAGAAGAAAGAAAGAAAGAAAGAAAAAGAGAGAGAGAGAGAGAGAGAGAGAGAGAGAGAGAGAGACAGAGAGAGAGAGAGAGAGGAGAGAGAGAGAGAGAGAGAGAGAGAGAGAGAGAGAGAGAGAAAGAAAGAAAGAAGAAAAGAAAGAAAGAAAGAAAGAAAGAAAGAAAGAAAGAGAGAGAGAGAGAGAGAGAGAGAGAGAGAGAGAGAGAGAGAGAGAGAGAGAGAGAGAGAGAGAGAGAGAGAGAGAGAGAGAGAGAGAGAGAGAAAAGCGTGAACGTGCTTCTATACAGATATAGAAGAATGGAATGAAACCGTCGAAGACGCTCAGAGATAAAGAAAGCGAATTCCGACTGAAATTCATGTGGTGCCTGGCTCCTTCCCAGAATGGCAAACGCAAACAACAACTCACAGATATTTCCTTCACTCAGCACAATGGTTTCACATGGAAAAATAAGCAAAAAGAGGTGGGATAGGGGGAGGGCTGGTTTTTCAGAGCAGAGTAAGTGCGCTCCATGCTTAATTTGATTCCTGGGATAAAGCTGGGCTTCCACATTGGTCTAAACACGATAAACAGAAAGGCCCTGGGTTCCTCCCGCTGGCTGATTGAAAATCTGGGTGGTTGTGAGAAGGTGTGCGAGTTTGTGTGTCTCTGTGCGGCCTGAATGAAGAAACAGCAGAGGAGGCAGACTCCCAGGCAGAAAGGGCAGAATGGAGAGCAGACAACAGACTGATTTATGGCTGCAGGTCAGTGCTGTGGCATGTGTGTGACACTAATGCAGAATGACAGGACAGATGGTGGAATGGAAGCAAGACACTCAGCTCTTCTCTGTGCCGATTGGAGGTGACTGTAAATCACAGAGGAAGTGGCTTTGGAGAAAGCACTCTATAAGCTCTATAAAGCCTATGCCCATTAATCCAAGATCAATTAACCTGTCAATTTCACACTTAACCCTGGGTTAACATCTTTTTAAAACCAGGTTAGGCCTTTTTAATCTCAAGCAAAGTTTCACACAAGTGGGTTCGCACTCCTTTGAAGTTGTATAGCCACAGACAACCAATCATAAATTGTATCAGTGCTTACCTTATTAAATATACATGTGCTTTCAAACTTTGTTTAATTTCAGCATGTAAGTGAAACAGTGAAAGCAAATGCATTAACTGTAGTAATTATCATTATTGTAGCGTTTTTAGAGATTTGTGTAGTGTGTTTTAGAAGATGGAATCTATGTGTCAATCTGAATTTGTCAAATCGATGTTGAAACTCAAAAAGGCAGTAGCACCACCATGGTCATGGGTTTGATTCTCAGGGAATGTGTATGATAAAATGGAAGTGATGAAATGTACACTTTTAATCAGTAGCAGCTCCTGACTGTCAATTTAGGTAGGGAAGATTCTGGGTCTTAGCATTAGTTTATGATAAACAGTTTGTAAGCTTTATATGCTGAACACATGCAAAACACTTTTGGCAGAGGTTACGTTATTCAGCCTGAGGGTGGCGCTCTAATGTTGATTGACAGGCTTTAAGTACACAAGAAAGTCATGTCTATTCTTAAATCAAACACAAAAGAACACAACAGAACTATATAAATGCTCACGGCTATTCACATGAGCACGTTTAAACTAAAGGGTTTATAGTTTAATTAATTTGATACGCTATGACAGACATGCCAAATTATTACTGACCTGATGCAGACTAATGCACATAGGCCCCCCTAAACCCTCAATCACTATTCCCTACGTTAGTCCACTAATACAGTTCACTTGAAGGAGTGAATAAAAATGAGTGAGTGAATTCAGGCAGCTGTTGAGTGTACATGGGCTGTACACTCATTATTGCGGTGCAATGTGGGAAATAATGAGTGCACTCCATAACGTCGACTATGCCCAACAGGCACCGGACGTCAATATGACGTCATATTGACATTGGATTTTGGTTGGAAATGAAAATGGGGTTGACGTCAGAACCCAACGTCAGATTGATGCACTTTTGTGGACTTCAAAACAGAAACGGCCATTCACTGCCATTATAAAGCTTGGAAGAGCCAGGATATTTTTTTAATATACCTCTGATTGTATTCGTCTGGAAGAAGAATGTCATATACACCTAGGATGACTTGAGGGTGAGTAAATCATGGACTAATTTTCATTTTTGGGTGAACTATCCCTTTAAACCAGGGTTTACATATATGCAGGGGGAAATTTTGAAACCTAGGGCTAGTAAGAATGATCTTGGATTAACAATTTCAGGTGTGAAAATCCCACTAGACATAACATAAAAAATTGTATATGGCTAAAAAGTTCATTTAAATACAGTGCATGAAATATATCTCAGAAGACCTAGAAGAAAAACATTCTAATATGAAAAAAAAAACAGGCTTTCCTCGGTTTCAGACATCCGTGTCTCTCTACTACATTCATTTTTGTTCTCAATCAATCCGCCATGTTTTTGTCAACGTGTAATAGGCAGGACACGTAGGCACACACACGGTTTTGCAGCAAGTTGAATGGGTGATGTTAATTATCCTGTTTCTGGAATGTGCATCAGCCTCCATGGCAGCGCTTTGAAATTCCATGCGTCACCATCCCTTTTGCTGCTTGCTGAGAGGAGTTATCTGAAGGTAGAAAAGGCTCCTAGACTAACAGCAGGTGAAAAACAAAGAACAGGGGGTGCATGCTGGGAACTGCCGCTCTCCCTGGGTCTGTATGCGTGTGTTTGTTAAAAAAAGAAGGACAGGTAAAGAGAGAGCGGATTTGTGTATGTGTACCAAAGATGGTTTTAAATTAGTTTTTTTTTTCTGTATTCAAAGATTTATTTTATTTTATTCTCTGCCTCTCTGTGATCATGTTCTCCTTTTTTCCTTAACAGGATCTTTTTCGCCTTGTTGCCAAAAAGTTTATTTATAGACCAGTGGAGAGAAAAGAGGAAATTATGGGGAAAGAGGGCGAAACCAAATCAGGAAATGTTGTGAGCCGGATTCAATTAACATCAGCCAAATGAGCACTATAGCTCTGACAGTTCTGTTCTGTTCTATTCTATTCTGTTCTGTTCTAATCCACTCCATTCTATTCTGGTTCCTTAGTGGTTCCATTAATTATTATTTAAAAACTTTTGAGGAGCAAATGTTTAGAAAAAACTAAATGAAAATCTTAGTCTTTACTGCCCTTAGAAGTTTTTTGCCAAATGTCACTAGTCTCACTTTATGTTTTTGATTAATAAAGAACCGATACATAATAATAAAAAAATTCAGGAATCAGACTACACTGGCCATGCTGTACATTTTTGATTCACTAAAAAGAGTCTGCTCATAAAATCTATTTGAATTTATTTTAAATTCAGAACACATTGCATATTTGTGATTCACTAAAAGGAACTGCAATGGCGGCTCATAAAATCATTAGTTCAGGGCTCGGACACTGGCCGTGCTGTATGTTTTTTGATTCACTAAAAATAATGGGCTCACAAAAGTCATTCATTCGGGAATCAAATTTCACTGGTGATGCTGCATGTTGTTGATTCACTAAAAAGAATCAGTTCATAAAAGCTATTTGGAATTCAGACTTCACTGTATAATCTTGATTCAGATCGGACAACACTTGCAGTGATGTATGTTTTTGATTCACTAAAAAGTGCAGACTCATAAGAATCATATGTTTGGGAATCAAATTAGACTGGTCGTGCTGTTTTTGATTCACTAAAAACAAATTGCTTATCAGAGTAATTCATTCAGGATTACAATTACACAGTTTGTGCTGTAAAAAGAATTACCTTTATAAAAGCTATTTGGAATTTCATTGTAAATTCTTGATTCCCAAAAAGGACCATATGGCGGCTCATTAGTTCGGGTATCAGACAACATTCACTGCGCTAAATGTTTTTGATTCACTAATAAGAGCTGACTCATAAGAATAATTTGTTTGGGAATAAAATTGCACTGGCCGTGCTGTGTGTGTTTGATTCACTAAAAATAAATGGTTTATAAGAGAAATTCGTTCACAGGGGCGCAGGAAGTATAGGTGTTGCAGTATGGTGTTTTCACAGGATTGTAAATGCTACGCAAATGTTAAGTATTAAAATTACACTGGTTTTTGATTCACTAAAAAAGTATCGGGTCAGAAGAATCATTCAATCTGGAATTATATTAAACTGGCTGTGCTGTATGATTTTGATTCACTAAAAAGGATTGGCTCATAAATCCTGTTTGGAATTCAGACTACATTTTATATTCTTGATTCACTATAAGAGCCGGCTGTGGCAGCTCATAAAAATCATAATTATGTTTGGGGATCGGACAACCGCTGTGTCAGTCTGAACCAGTCTGGTCACACTACACGTTTCAATCTGGAGATTCATAAAACTGTTAATGGAACCATAAGTCAAGTAATTATTTGGTTTCACCATTTTATCAAAAACAGTACCGGTTCTGAAAAATATCTTGGTGTCCTATCCTACTGAGATCAATACATCATGACATTACAGCAGGCTGACGCAGGCATTGGAAAATTCAGGGAGTGTGACTGTTTTGGAAGATCTGTTTTGGAAGCAGGGCAGGGGTTCTGATGTACATCTGACTGAACATATTGCTTTTGCAGGTTTTCCAGAACGTGAGCCAACCGAGCAGGCCTGAAGAGCATGGGTCTGACAGATATTAGGAGGACTGCAGGGTACTAAGCCGCTCTGGGCCGGTTGTGCTGTCACATTATGTTGAGAAAGCACACGGAGATTAAATGTTCTGCCGAGTCTCTTCTATGTGCCAAGGCAAAAAAATCAGTCCCTTGTACCTCCTCTCAGCTGGCAGGGCACTATTTGTCTTTGTAGTTGGGTAAGTAAGGATCAAATGAAATAAAAAAAAAGTTTGATATGCTTGTGTTGAAACAGTTCATGTGAACACAAAAAGTGAGATTTTACAAGAATTGCTTCAACCCTCATGTTATCTTGGGGTTCTCAGAGAAACCAAGACTTATTAAAAGCGTAGTTCACTCAAAAATAAAAAATCTGACAATTTGTCACCCTCATGTCATTCCAAACAACCAGTATGACTTTCTTTCCACTTTGGAACATTAAAGATGTTTTGAAAAATGTCTTTAGGTTCATTCAATAAAAGAAATTTTTTTTTATTGAATGTATAAAAAAAAAAAAAGATACATCGAGTCTCTTGGGCCCCAAAAATATTCCAATCAGAAAATGAAGCTTAAATAAATGTCAACTGCTCTATGTGCTTTACAGTTTATCTTCTATTTCTCTCTGCTTCTCTTCTGTCATGTTCTCCCCGTCTCCTCAGCTCTTTTCTTAGTTGAATCCTCCACTAATCTATCTTCATTTCTCTTCCTTCCACGGCCGATTCTATGAGTGAAGTTTCCGCTCTCACTCTGCATCATTAAGATAAGCACATTCAGGTGCAGTGCACTGTGAAAAATGTGCAGCCCCCGCCATGACACATTTACATTCACTGACTCTTAATGTGACATAATACGAGTACATTAAAGCCTCTGTCTACGCATCAAAGAGAAATGACACTAGTGGCTCCAAATGGGAAACAGCAGCTCCCAGACTAAGTTAAATGAATTGACTAAGCTCTATGACTAGCCATAATGTAGCACTTCCCAGACTGAAAGGGTCTGTGTAACTTTACCTCCAGCATTCCTTGATCTCCAAAATCTGAGAACTATCCCTTAATGATTTCCAGTCATGCTATTAGGCTTGTAATTTGCCGCTTGGCTACGTTAAAGGTGACAAGGAGTAGGCTTTTAACACACGCCGCAAATAAAGCCGGGTAATGCATTCATTAGGGGAAATTAACATGGTGCCAGGCTCCTTCATCATCTTAACGTTGTTGCAGATGAACATTAACATGTTTGTCATCTGGCATTATGTTGCAGTGCCACTTGGGATCACCTGCGCCAGAGATTGTATGCAGGACTTTATAAGAGTCTGAAATCAAGCTGTGGCGTAATCAGAATAGTTTTTTCTTGTTTAGATCTCAGAAGCCATTTAGCAAAATGTCTTACTACTTACATTCTTGAGGCAAATGTAATCTATCAGGAGAAGATCAGGAAAGGAAAATGTGTTTTTGGATTAGAAACGGCTATAACAAATATTTGAACCCATTAATATGTGCTTTTTGAATTTTTTGAGGGTGCTAAAGAAAATGTAAGCTTTTGCCCCGTTTACTCACTTGTCTGGTCTGCCAGGGACCTGCAATCGTAAACGGCACTTGTTGGCACTCTGAATTTGGTCCTCTTTGATGCGGATCAGCCTTTGCAACGCCAAACACCAGTCCTGTGCTACCGTAGTGTTCAGATTCTATAAACACAGCAAAGAAATGCTAGTGCTTTAGATTGACCTTGACTTTACATTGGACATCAAGTTTTGACCCAACACGGTCCAGAAATGGTACAACTTAAAAATGTACTGAAAATCAAGCACTGAAAGATTTTAATGTTATTAGGAACAGCATATGCCCAATAATAGCCAATGCAAAATTATTAATATAACAATAGGTAAATCGAAGCATTTCCTCCTCCCTTTTAAAGATACGTCTATTTATTCCTGTTATGATAAAGATCAAATGATAAAGTCTTCAGTGTCTCGGGATCCTTTAGAAATCGTTTTAAAATGCTGATTTGCTGCCCAAGAACAATTCTTAATATCATCAATGTTGAACACTGTAGTGCTGCTTAATATTTTTGTGGAATAATACTTTTTTTCTTTTAGAAATCTTTGATGACAATTCAAAAGAACAGCATTCATTAGGAATAAAATTATTTATGTAACATTATGAATGTATTTACTGTCACTTTTGATCAATTTAATGTCTCCTTGCCAAAATCGTATCTAATCTTACTGACTCCAAACTTTTGAATCATAGTGTGCTGTATATTGTTAGTTTCATTTTTATATGCATTTAGCATTGTTTAGCACAGCTTACAATATCGGAACTGACCTTTAACCAGTCGAAAACTACTGCTTTATATCACATTAAATGCAGAAATCACAGTTTTTTGTTATGTTAATTTTGGCTTTGGCCTCGAAGTATTGATGAAATAATAAAGGCTTCCCTCTTATAAACAAAATGATTCACACCTCCCAAAAGCCAAGTCCAATTGAAATACATCTGCAAAATCAATGAGGTCTGCAAAAGTTCACCCATTCTCTATTCACCTCACATTTACATTCTGATTAGATTGTGGTAGGAATTAGTCATTTGGAGAGAGGCCAAAAGCATGTTTATGGACAAGAAAGCATGCAAGACAAAGCGCTGTTACTGTTTTCATATAACACTCAGAGGTAAAAGAAGAAAACTAGCTGTTTTTGTATTGGTTTAGTTGCTATCAAGGCATCAGGGGAGCTGTCCTGATTTGAGAGCAGCCTTGTGCTGTGCAGACATGCTGTTCAGAGCTATCTCCCATCTGAACATCGACTGCAGATCAGATTATGAAGGTTTCCCCGCGTTGACGTCCAACTATCAAGCGAATGCCGTGATAATCAATTGATGATCCACGTCTTTGGTTGCTGAACTTTGATCACAATTTAATTACGCTGAAAACGCTGAATTACCCCAAAGGCTTCCATCCCCAGATGGCTGCAGCATATGTGGCTTACACTGCTTTTGTTTTGCTGCTTAATATATTCCACCTAGATTTTTCCTGGACTTTGTTCTTTTTATAATTTTTGGACAGTGTTAGGATATTATATTTTCATAATGAAAAAATGTGTTTATCCAAAAGCACAGCTTATCTTATTTTTTATTTTCATTTTTGAGAGAGAGAAAGGACACATTAAATTAAAACACAGTAAAGACATTTATGTTACAAAAAATGTATATTTCAAACAAAAAATCCTGGAAAAAAGGGTAGCCTATCGTGTTTAAAAAAAAATATATATATTAAGCAGCACAACTCTTTCCAACATTGATAATAAAAATAACTGTATCTTGAGCACTAAATCAGCATATTAGAATGATTTCTGAAGGATCGGGTGACACTAAAGACTGCCATCACAGAAATAAATTACATTTTAAGATACAGTAAAATAGAAAAGTTATTTTAAAATGGTAAAAATATTTCACTGTATTAGTGTATTTTTGATCAAATAAATGCAGCTTTGGTAAACATAAGAGATTCTTTTAAAAACATCTTACCAACCCCAAACTTTTGAACAGTATTGTATGTAAAAACATGTATTTTAATATTTATATGAATTATACAGTAGTTAACATTTGAAGTGGTTTGATCCCCTTCAAATGTTGACTACTGTATATTAACCCTCTGGGGACCAGAGTGTTTTTGGGGCCCTTTGGATGTTTTGACTTGCTCTGACATTTGTGCTTTTTTCAGTTGCTTATAAACATATTAATGGCACAGGTGAAATTAAACTCTATTTAGCACAAACAGGTCTACCATAATGTGTGAGCAACATGTATGTACATGTTTGTATTTTTGAGAGAATATTGTTTATGCGTGGTTATTGAAAAAACTAAAAAATAAAGTTTTTGAAATAAGGACACAAAAAACATACTAAATATGAGTCCACAAGACTTTTGACTAATGTACGTTGTTGCCTAGAGTTTTTGCTTCAAAATGATCTGAAAATCATTCTTCCTAATCATTCACATAAAACAATAGATTGTTTTAAATTGTGAAAAACCTTTTTTTGTTTGCCAAGGCAATATGCGGATGGGCGGAACGGCCCAACCCCTATCATGAATAATTAAGTGGTTCTCAGACAGTGACCCTGCATAATAATGAGCCTTTCATTCAGGGGTGTCACACAAGAAAGAATGTAAGGACAATATATATATATATATTGTCATTGCATTCTTTCTTGTATATATATATATAGCCTACATGTGTATATATATATATATATATATATATATATATATTGTCATTGCATTCTTTCTTGTATATATATATAGCCTACATGTATATATATATATATATATATATATATATATATATATACACACACACACACACACACATATATATATATATATATACAAACAATCAAAATATAAATGAAAGCCAGAAGCACATTTTTAGTCATACCTGGAAACAAATCCTGGTCAAATGCTATATGGGCCATTCTACAGAATTGGTTCAAAGTTACAGTTGGAAACATCTTGAAAAGAAAATAGTATTTTCCCATAAATGTCTTATAAAGTATTATTTTTTAAAGTAGACCAATACAATAAAAATAAACCAGTCGCATTTCAAAGTCGCTCGCGAAATGACCGCCAGGTGGCGCAAAGGGACATTTATCAAAACGTAAGTGGGGCTAATGTCAATTAACAGTAAGGATGAAATTCTACAAGTTATGGTAATTTACAAATAAGCCTACAACAAACATTTATTTTTAAACAAATATTTTTAAATATGCAACATGCACGTTTAAACAACAAACAATACAATCTGAACCAGCGCTTCCTGTATTGAGACATGCAGCGCGTTTCAGTTACGATCCTGGTTCCAGTGGCCTTAATACATTCACGGCTTTTTAAAATGTCACAAAGCGTTTTGAGATGGTTTTGAATGAAATATTGAAGTTTATAATTAGGGTATTTTGGCACACCACGCCGAGTGGCTATGCATTATTCTAAAATCTGGCTTTATTCTGGCATGTTCAATTAGAGTTTGACAAACGCGGCGGCGCGTTCATTTGGATTTATTTTTCTCATAACAGCTAAAAGAACTTACTGCGTAATTGTTGGTCATACAGATAAGATATCATCTTTTAAAACTGTAAAAGGTCTACTTTTATTCATGTAGGTAGGCTAAAGTAGGCCTACACTCACACAGGCTAACGACAAAACGTTTTCTCGCTCATGTGAGAAACAAACGTTTGGGCATTTCTCAGTGAGAAAATTCATAGCCGAGCGGTAGAACTGACGGTTCGATCATCAAGATGACACGGGTTCAAATCCCGATCAAACATGGTCTACTGCAAATTTTATATTTATTAATGCAGAGAGATTTGTCTAGCTCTAAAACTCTGTTACACCATACAGTTTTTTGGTTATATTTATAAAATAAAATTACCATGCATTTCCATTTTACACTAGGAACAATAGTATCGAACAGAACGACGTTGCATCTGTACCAATCGTACGAGGCTACCAATCGTAATTTTAAAAGCAGTTCTGTAAAAAAAGTAATTTTACATATATAGCCTATATACAGTATATATATATATATTTTTTATTAGGCCTATTATTATTATTATTTTGATTCCCTACAACCTAGAGTTTTTAAAAACATGGTTTTAAGTAAAGTGTGATTTGCCAGGAGGGACGGGGATTTCCTTCTGGTCTAAACATCCCTGCTTCTGCTGAATTATTTGAATCCCCACACTCCTCCCTCCACAGTAATCAATGCTATAGGCTACTTCACCAATAGACCATATCAAATATAAAATAGAGATATGCAACAAGCACGTTTAAACAACGACAAACAATAAAATCAAAACCAGCGTTTCAGTTGTTCATTAGTTCAAGTGGCCTTAATGCATGCACGGCTTTTCAAAATTTCACAAAGCGTTTTGAGATTATTTTGAATGAAATATTGAAGTTTATAATTAAGTGTTTTGGCAGACCACGCCGAGTGGCCCTATGCATTTTTCTAAAGTCGGGTTTTATTCGAACTTTTGCTAACGACAAAAACAGTTTATCTGTCGTCTCTGTCTCCGGGAACTGCGCGTCACAAAAATGAACCGAAAGCCACTTCAGCTCAGTCACTATAAGAAATCGGCTCTGTCTAAAGCCTTTAAATGTCTAAATATTCTGGCTAATAAATGTTATCTGATTATGTAATCCATATGAAAACGAGAGGTACAGAGGATCTACTCAAACATGTAGCCTGTAAGCGCTTCCCAATGAGAAAATGACAAGGGTGAAAATCTCGCTCTAATTAAATGTAGCAGGCTAAATCGCCCTGAATTAAAATGTAAAAACAGATCAAATAATGTATTTGTTGAAATGTTGCGATATTGTTTCATTTAAGTTCATAATTATTCAATACATGTTATTTAATTTAGCAGCATTACCACGAAGCACCGTGGTTTGATATTTATTTGAATAAAAAAAAAAAAAAAAAAAACTTAATTCACAAATTGCATGCCTGGTTGAAAGGATCCAAAGATCCATGTAGACTTTAATATTGAGTTGAACATTTTGTTCATGAAAACAAATTAACATGCGTTTTTTCAGATTATATTTAGTTTTGCTTGGAAAAAGCTGGCCCAAACCAGTTTTATTTCATCAATTACTGAAATAATGAAATATTTAGTAATAAACTTTTATGACAGAAATATCACTAGGCTACATGTAACTTAAATCATTTAATTCCTTCATTATCAACACTGTCTAGAATAGCGATTTAAGTGTGAATTGCGACTTCTCTTTGTGTTAAATCAGCCTCAGACTCCGATAGCCGGTGGGGGGTTGGAGGGACAGTTCAGTGCTGTATCAAGCGCGCAGGACAATAGGCATAGGTGTTAATGTTCCTCTTTCATATGGAGAGCGAGGGAGACTAAATAAACTTGTTAAAAAGAGATTCAGCGCGAGAGAGGCAAAGAAAAACGCATGTTTTAATTTAATTATGTTGCTTTGGACAATTTTCGTTTTGTAGGCCTACTGTTTTAATTGTTTAATATAGCTGTCATTTCTTTGGCAATACAAATTTAAAATGTCGCAAGAATAAGATTAGCCTAGTGTTTCTTATTTTGCATCGCAAAAGAAATAAACTCTAAACCCGATGCAACCCTGTTTTAAATTAAAAAAACTGTCCCGACACTTTATTTAAACCTTGAAATGTTCGAACTTGGTTTCAAACTTAAGTAATTTTAGTGTTCTTTTACATTACACAATAATTTAGCAGACTAAAGACGTGCTTCTTCATTTTCAGATGCAATCGGCTGACAATCTTCCTTCATCAGTTTATGTCCTTTGTGCAGCGCTGCGGTTCCAGGAATGTAGCAAATTTATGTTGTAATAATAATTAAACAAAACTCTTGACTTTAAATAAGTAAACAGTTATAAACAGTTAGCTATTTAAGCATCAAGAAGGTTAAATATAAACGCTGTTGGCCAACATCGGTTAACAACATGTATGCTACATTGAGATTCGATCTCGAGTCGATTGAAGCTCCTCGAAGCTCGTGTTGTTGCGTTAACCACTGAGCTATCGTTTGTACGTCTGTAAATGTTTTTATTGCAATGTTTTACTTTTTCATTATTTATTCAATTTCATTTCAGTAGCCTAATTTCAGTATTGTGATTATGAATTATTTTAACTACGTTTCACTTGTTGAATTCATCTGCTACCAGCTTTCAATCGCTCTGAATCAGTGCGGTGCGGCAGCAGATTACGCATTAGAGAGAATAAACAAACACTTTTCAGAGTCTATGATTGTAGCGCCTCTTGGCGGTAAAAGGCAGAAAATACACCCCACATTTTACCGCCGCGGTGGAACGGCTGATGTGGGCATTGTCATGGCTTGCCTCAACATTTGCGTTTGAATAGCGCGCGTCCTCCATGGGCGTGTCAGATTAACGCGTAATGAAGTGTAATGAGCTGGGGAAAAAAAATCTGACAGCACTCTCTTTTCATACAGATTACATAAACTGAGAATATTTGTTTTTTATATAAATTACATCATTGAAAAGAAGAGAATTCAAGCTTCATAAAGAAAAATCTCTCGTGCCTGTATGACAAGTATTTGCAGAGTTAGAGTTAATTTTTCGGACGTGTTTCAGAATGGACTGCACTGACAGAGAGAAGGCAAAACTCGCATCATGTTTATTTTTCTTTATTTGACAAAAAGCACAAAACTTTGTTTTTATTGTGAGTATACAGAAAAATAATAGACAATTAACAGGATCGATTGATGTATAACACTTATATGTACGATCAAAATCAACAGAGTATTTTAAGTCTATTTTTCTGCTATGTGAAAAAAAAACGGCAAAACGCGCGGGCGCGTTTCTGGTCCCCAGAGGGTTAAAAGCATAAAATGTATGTTGTTTTTTGTACTTAATGCCACAACTTCAATTTATGAGCCATGTTTACAATTACTTACTCCGCCGCAAAGTAATTGTATTAATGCATCACGTCAACTTTCCAAGTTTCTGCTTAAGGGTTCAGATGTGAGGTAGTGAACATTATTTACCTGGTACGTTCCCTGTAAAGTCCCCACGAGCTGAGTGACTTGCTCTACCACTGAGAGGTCGTGCTGCAACTCCTGCAGTTCCTGATACAGACGGGGCGGACCCAGAATGATACTTCCTGTCAATCAAAAATAACCAGCTTCACTTATCCAGCACTTAAATTGCACACCACGCTTTATCAGAACATTCACCTGCACTCCAGGGTTTTCCTTAGATGAGATGGTATTTCTGCGGATATGGCTTCCCGTAAGGTGCTGAATCATTCGAACATGTAATCGAGTCAGGAAAGCTCGGTTACACTGTGAGCTATGCTCAAATAAAAAAGCACTTCAGGATTTCCTATACAATGCACATTCCTCCATTTAAAATAATTGATCGGAGACCTGCATGGTGGTCTACAATGACACAATTTTCAGAATGATACCCGACCTTTAAAGAGGAAAACTCGTTGTCCTCTAGGCTTTCGCTTAAAAGAACTTGCCCTAATGCAAATCTAAACTAAATCAACTCAACTTTTAAAGACTTCTGCACTATCACAAAACTTTCATTTGTCAATACTCTCCAGTAGCTCCACTAACAAAGAGAATCGATACTGAAGATAGATCGATTGTTCCCATTGTTTGTGCAGCCACAGAGGCTAACGTTATAAGGAAAAGGAGCAGAGTATAAAATGAAGCCATTTGGAAATATGAAGCCCTTTAAGGGTGACGAAACGAACACAGGTGTCTCATTAGACGTGAAATGTACCATCGATTTGAATCCCCATTCCCTTTTTTGCGGTCTCTGGTCTCTGCCTGCAGAATCAATAGCGGGGGTGAATCTGCTCTATGTGTCCGACCGATAGCCCAGGAATGAGGAGTGTAATTAAATCCCAGAGCTGGATACGAAGACTGCAGGACCGTCTGGCCTTTCAGCACCTCCGCATAATCACATGACCTGTGTGCAGAATTGGGGCGGCACGGGCAATTGTTGACCCCCAGCTAAACCTAATTTTCGAAGTACTGCTGGAAGGTCTGTCAGAGATCTTTCTCAGGCTCTGACACACCATCTCTCTCTCTCTCTTTTGTCTCTCTATAGGCCTGTCTGTCTAGGATTCAATCCACTTTTCTTTACACCTCTACATCTTTCTTCCACTGGTTTGTCTGTCTCTCTCTAACCTTTAGAAATTTAATAGGGTCTTCAACTCACACAGCCACAGAGACATCTGTCACTGGCACGGCTTGATCAATAGCAGACACATTTGAATAAAAATAGGCACAGTGAGCCCCTACAGCGCAAGCTGGCAGTTTACACGCTCTTCTGGTTGCCGTGGCAAGGCCTCAGGCGGGCCTACAGGTTTGTGGGCTTGTGGCCCACCCTGGCCTCAGGTGAATGTGCTGACTTGTAATCCAGACTAATCCAGTTGGTGTGCTGGGATCTGTTTTTCACACTATTGCATGGTTTTCCACCATTCCCACTAGTCTATCTCTCTCACACACACATTGTCATATGTAAACGGACACACACGCTGACCGGCCACCAGCAGAGGCCTATGCAGACACAATACAGTAGTCCAAAGCCTAAAGTTAACCAAGCTGTTGCCAGAAGGGCCACTCAAATAAATTTGGATTTCTCATTCAAACCTATGCTCTTAAACTAACATTTAAGTGTGCTTTTGACACTTTCGGAATTTTTTTTTAGCAAGGATCTATGTGGCACATGTTTTAACAAATAGTAAAAAGGTGTGCATGCCATGGCCATTAAGGAAACTAGTCTGTGATAATTTCCAGGGACTAAAGTGCTCAATTAATATTGCACCTAACCAGCTAAGGGTAAGAGAGACAAAAATTGTAACTTTACATCATTTTAACATCTATATATATTGTACATTACATGTATATATTAATTATATTATATTATATTTTGTGCTGCTTAATATTTTTTTATAACCTTTGATAATTTTTTTCCAGGATTCTTTGATGAATAAAAAGTAAACAAAAAAAGAACAGCATTTATTTAAAATAGAATTATTTTGTAACAATTGAATATACACTACCATTCAAACATTTATATATTATACCATGTTATATTATTAGATTATAATATACCACATATAATTTATATATAATTCATATTAAAACAATATAAAAAGTATAAATAAATATTAATAATGATATTAATATTATATTATAATTTGTAATAAATCAGCATTATCAGCAGCAGTAGTATATGTATTAATACTATACAATATATAATATAATATACATAATTTATATTAAAACAATATAAAAATATTCTTGTTGTTATTATTATTACTTCATGTTGTCCAACGTATTTACTTTGTCTAAATGGCAGAAGTCTACAAATATTTCAGCAGGATAAATTATTTGAGAGAGGGCTTAATTGTCCAAAATAGCATCCCTGTACGGTAAGTCTCCATTAAGAATACATCTCATTGCTCACAGGCCTCTAAGATTTGCAATATGCTACTGTTTTATACGGCTTTAGAGTGGCAGTAGCAGAGGCCTTGCTCTTCCTGGAATGCTGGCCTATTCCATCAATAAATTAGGGCACTGGGGCCTGCAGGAGATGAAAAATGAGTCCATTTTGAGGTACGCTGGGGGAGCATGGGATCTGATTTGGGCAAGGAGCCCCATGGAGTGACATCACAAGGTAGGAGAGATGTGACGCGGGCCAGGCAAAACAGGGTTGTGTGTCTATGTGCTGCTATTAATAGCTGAAGAACGACATATTCAGACTAGACCAGACTACAACAAAGGGGTCTGGAAAATAATGATTAAAGGCTTCTTGTTACTTAACCAGAAGTGTGTGCTAACAGCTAACACAGGTCATTGAATAGAATAAAAGAGAGGGAGGCGGTCTGTCTTATATCTCGTCACAGACAGAGATACCGAAACGTATCCTCACCAAATACAGGCTCAGTGACCAGTCTAGCTATAGAAAAAGGCTTTCAAAAGAAGAAGTCTGTGGCTCTCTATAAGACTAGTGAGGTTGAGACAGAGGCATACTTCACTGTGATCATTTTCTATATACTGTGTGTGTGTGTGTGTGTGTGTGTGTGTGTGTGTGTGTATATATATATATATATATATATATATATATATATATATATATATATATATATATACACACACACACACACACATATATATATATATAAATATATATATATACACTACCGTTCAAAAGTTTGGGGTCAGTGAGAATTTTATTTTTATTTTTTGTAGGAAAGAAATCAATACTTTTATTTATCAAGGAATAATTAATTTGATCGAAAGTGACAGTAAAGACATTTATAATGTTACAAAAGTCTTTTGAACTTCCTATTCATCAAAGAATCCTAAAAAAAAAAAAAAAAAAAAAACTGTACAACTGACAGACCAACAACTGTTTCAACATTGATAATAATAATAAATGTTTCTTGAGCATCAAATCCTCATATTATACTGATTTGTGAAGGATCATTTGACACTGAAGACACTGACACTGGTGATGCTGAAAATTCAGCTTTGATCACAGGAATAAATTACACTTTACTTTACTTTAATCAAATAAGCGCAGCCATGGTTAGCAGAAGAGAATTCTTTTAAAAGTATTTAAAATCGTACCGACCCCAAACTTTTGAACGGTAGTGTATATATATAGGTGGTAGGTACTGAGGGAAGCTGCAATATAAACTTACCTGCACATCCTCAAAAAACAGTCTATATTTTGTCTTCAAATGTAACAATATTCTGATGTATTTTTGAATGTTTACAATGTTACAATACAATTGAATTGTATAGTATATTGTAAATATTATGTGCATTACCTTTACCGGTATTTAATTTTTTCGAAAGAAATTTCTAAAGAACAGCATTTATTTGAAATAGAAATATACAGTAACATTATAAATATCCTTACTGTCACTTTTGATCAATTTAATGCATCCTTGTTGAATAAAATTAATTTCCTTTTAAAAAACTATATATACTATTACAGTATTTAAAACTATTTCTTCTTTTACTGACCAAACCTTTAAACAGTAGTGCATATAAAAATACAGGCTATATATTAAAGTGCCCTCATTGTGCTATTTTAAACATTCCTAAATCTGTAGGTCTCATACAAGAGGCTTATATGCTTTCAAGGTCAAAAAACACTTTAATTTTCTCTTATAATATACATTGCATATCACCTCTTTTCTCACAGTGCCTGAAACGACTCAAAGGATTCAGTCTCTCTTAACACCTCCTTTCCTCTGCTCTAATTGATCAGATAGCCCAGCATGTTGTGACTGGTCGACAACTTACAGTGTGTCGCAGTGGCGTGCACAGGGGGTCTATGCAGGGGGGCTTGAGCCCCTGACCCTTTAATCGTGAAAGTAGCCTTTTCGGTCGTATCTCGGTGCCCCGTGGAACGTGATTTCTACCGAGGGGGACCCCACCAACCAACATGTTGCTACAACATGTTGCTTCTCCGCTACAACTACAATGGTTGAGGGTTGGGTCAAAGTACTATGTACATGTTGTTTGCGGGCAGTCAATGAAGATCATAGGCTGGCATTATGCACATTTGTACAAACCATTTGTCGAGTTGATATGTTACGGAAGTGAGACTTGAATTTCTGATGGCTCATTTCTTTCTTTTAGGAGACAATAACTTTATTTGTCGTGCACTTTGATCTTTAAAACTTTGCAGACCTTTTACATTCACAAACAGCTATTATACACTGCATGGCAGGTAGTATTCGAAATAGCATAGGGGCGATTTCATAAAAGAAAAACATTTATTCTATACTATATTTATTTTATTTTTTCCTGTCACTGTTTTTATTTCTTGTATTGATTATTTGGCAACATTTTATGTCAAACAATCATCCCCGTATTTTGACATTTAAATTGAGGGAAATGACAGAGAAAATGATGAGAATGAGAAATAGGAAGTAGATGGGAGGCTACTGCTGAGTTATAAAGTAGCAGGAAGAGAACGGAGGCAGATAAATTGGACAGAATGCTGTTTTATAATGATTTCAGAGAGAAATAAGGCATGGGGGGCATAAGAGGTCTTCTAAAGACTCCTGCCCGCGAGCTGTCTGCTAGGCCCTAGCATTAAACATCTTCTGTCATCTAATTTCCTGGCTCCCCTGTGTGCACAATCCAACATGGGTGTTCCAGAGACAACACCATTAATATTTCAGCTCAGAAAGCAAAAGGCTTAAACAGCCAGAACCTGTACATCCTGATAACACTTTGTACCTGGAGCTCTGTCAGCATATTTATCTTGGTGCCCCACAATTGCTCACTTCCTCCTCGTTTTCGAACTCAAAACACAATAATGTTTTGTAAGAGTGTTCAGCCCTGATTCCAATCTCCTGAACTTGCTCTCTCTGATTGGAAGTGGAGGTGGAAATAATGCGCCAAGACTGATGACAGCACGCTGAATATGTTTGTGGTCTATCAGACAGTGAAATAAGATTGCTTAGGCCGTTCCTCTGTTATTCTTATCTACCTCACCTGAGATACACTCATCTGTATCTGAGGCCATAAAAAGTTGCATTTCTCACAAAAAACGGACAGTTATTTCAAAATGTCTCAGAGACTCACATCAAGGGGTGCATGCTATCTGATTGTTTAGAAAGTAGCAGCGCCAACAGCATTGCCATTACCCAGTCCCGAAGTGCTGCCCGAACGCTTGACGCCTCCAAGCTGGTAAAGAGTGTCCTTAGATTGGGAGCCCTCTTGACCCACTTCAACTACCTGAACTTGCTGCAAGGGGGCACTCCACTTAAGGCTATACTTGGGACCTACTGGAACCAGACTGCTGATGTCAGGGGGGCCCCTGGAGGTGACAAGAAGAATAACATGTCAAAATGTATTGCATAGTCATAAAAATAAGTAACCTGACAGATCATTTGGTATAGGATTCACTCAAATGCAATCATGTTAAACATACCCGAATACTCTTTATTTTTTATTTACAACTCCGAAAAATCTTGTTTTACAGATCAACTGAGTACATTGTGGAAGTCTAAAGCTCCAGCTGTTGGGGGTGTTGTTGTTATTCATGTTTTGTTGTAATCTCAATCACCTCGTTTAGATCTTCTAAACGAGCATGTAAAGCCACACTTTAGTAGAACAGAGACCTAACATGCTGCAGTGGAAGGACTAGCTCAAAAGCTTTGAGATTCAGTATCACCGCAAGCTTTTTCACTTAGCTTTTTACCTTTTGCACTGCTGAGATGTGATCAATGGAGCTGTCGTAGATAATCTATTTGGGTGGAACAGAGAAGCGCCTTTATGCCTGTGATCTATGTGGATAATTCATGTCGCTGTAGCTAAACACCCTGCTATTTGTTCCCAGATAATGAAGGCCCATTTGACTCTGCCCAATTCTGTCCTGTGCCTTAAACATTAGCGGCTAACCCCCTCATATTGGGGCAACATCACAGTAATGCTCCTGGAGACTCAGAAGTCTGTATTTAGATCGGCAATCAATCAGTCAGCGTGGCCTTAAAGGGGGGGGGCGGAGTGACAAAGAGAAAGTCAATCGACCTTGTCCTGGACACATACTTGACATTGATGTTGGCACAGATGAGCATGTCACCGAAGAGAAAGACTTTCCTCTCCTTAGACTTAAGGACCTGTCCTCGTTCACCATACACCGTCTCAATCAGCGTCTCGCAAAGGATCAAAGAGCTCTGCTCAGAGTTCAGCAGCTGAAGAGAAGACAGGGGAGACACTGATTACACGTAAGTCTTACAAAATAGAGGCGACCAATTACATGGCTACACGCTTACTTACAGGCCACAGTGTGGCGTAAAAGACACTTGAAGGTTCACAGAAAGGCAGCACAGAAGATTGGAAACGGCAGTATATTTGAAGCAGAAAGGTTGGGGAAAACCCAATCTTAAAGGAGATGCTCCTTTTAGCATCGGATTGAGAAGTGTAGACTCTACAAACTACATAAGTTTAAATGTGCATTATAAAAAGGAGGGTTCCTAAGGGTTCTTTAAATATGTAAATACTTAATTTTATAACAGTATCTGTTTTTCCTGAATAAAAACTGTAATTTCAAATAAAGCTCCTTTACAGCTGAATTTCTGAATCTGTTTTGCCTTAGATCGTCTGCCCTATCAATCTGATATCAATTTGAGAAACTTCTCAAAGTAGTAGTTCTAGACTAAATGTGAGCATGCATTCACTCATCTCACTTGCACAAAAATCCGATTCAGTAATTCATTAAATTGAATAAGAACAGTGAAATGCAAATTCTGAATATTACGCAAACCTCCAATAATTAAATGTTAAACACAAATATACGTCATGTATTTAATCTCACTTCATTAACCAATGTCTTTGCTGCTGACATTTGATGATGACCCAATTCAACCATACAAATAAGCAAAAATTACTTATTTTTTACTTTATTGCTAAAAAAAAGTGTCTTGGACTTTCTTTTCCAGCATCCTATTATTATGTCATCCAGAATGACAGCCCAGCTAAAAGGATTGTTTGAGCTGCGGCCTATATTGTACAGGCATGAATTTGCACTTCTTTCAGCCTGAGACTTATTCATTTCACTTTTGCCATGAAAAGGCCTTCACATTTGCCAAAAATTTAACTTTTGTTTTTATCAGAAAACAAACAAGCAAGTCCAGCCCAGGTGAGAAAAAGAAACGCAAAAATAACATATTGTAGTTACTTTTTATGAAAAGTAATGCGTTATTGCATTAATCCCTAAAAAAGTAACTAATTGTGTTAATGCATTACTTTCCCCAACACTGGTTGCTAATGCCTTTTTGACTGCTCTGTAACTGTTATTATGACATGTAATTATTGTTTATAGCGAGCTAGACTGAAGGTGACTAAACTCTTTCACAAATTACAAACATCTAACTAGAAGCTTAACCCTTCTTTCATTTACATAAAAATTTGAATTTTTTTTTTTTGCAAAATAGCTCATCATTCATCTTCCCGCAGGTAGTTTCTTAAGTCGGTTGAGCTGTGTATTCCGCCTGCGAGAAGGGGCCAAGTTTGAATGTAACAAACTCCAGCAGAGGCACTTTTAAAAAGATGAAAATTCTGTCATCATTTACTCACCATTCTGCATTTCCAAACCTGTAGTAGGACATTCTTCTGTAAAAAATATATTTTGAGATATGCTTCTTTTGTGTTCCAAATCTTTCGGATTTGGGCATGAGGTGAATAAATGATGACAGTATTGTCCTTTTTGGGTGAATTATCTCTTTAAAGTGTGCAATTTCTGCACCACTAACATCACAGAAACAGAACAGCACAAATCTGCCACTGGTTGAAGAAACAGGTATATTTATCCTGAATGCATAACAAGATGTGGAAAAAAATATTTATTTTTGTTGTGTAAGGAGACAGTCCCAGAGTTCATCCTCATTACATCAGCAATAATATACAAGCGGCATCACAGCAGCGAAACCCAATGTCCAGCGGCTCAAATAAATATTGCGTGTTGGTGTTTGATCAGTCAGGAGAGTAGTTTTATAAATAATGCATCTGCTTCTGTAGCCCGCATCACACAAAATGAGTTGCCTGATCCAAAGGGAATTGGCAACACTGCTTGGCCTTTGTTGAAATGCATTGAAAAATTAGACCTTCAGTCAGTCAGAAGGCATGCTCCAGGTTCTGTGTATTTATATAGTAAGAGCGCCCCCCAAAGGATGACGAAGCAAACAGAATGTTGTCGGAAAGGACAGATATCCTTTTCAGAGACTTGAGAGTGTGACTGAAATGGGTTGTAAGTTTGGATGGATGTGTGTGTGTGTGTGTGTGTGTGTGTGTGTGTGTGTGTGTGTGTGTGTGTGTGTGTGTGTGTGTGTGTGTGTGTGTGTGTGTGTGTGTGTGTGTGTGTGTGTGTGTGTGTGTGTGTGTGTGTGTGTGTGTGTGTGTGTGTGTGTGTGTGTGTGTGTGTGTGTGTCTGTGTGTGTGTGTGAGTGAGTGAGAGAGAGAGAGAGGTGTATGTGATATGCTTGCTGAAGAGCGACAGGGAGACGCTGCAGTCTTAGCCTGTGCAGTGTGCACCATACTATATTTGCTGGCCTACTAACTCAGATAGTCTGAGACAGACGATGAATATTTCATTGCATGTATATGGGGTAAAGGAACTGACTGTTTCACATTGGAATGCATCTGAAATCCCTGAAAAAAAGGTAAGATTGGAGCCACTGCACAGTAGGTAGTGCACATGCTCACAATACATACAGTAAAAACAGTGTACAGTACATGGGATACCCCATTTTTCACTAAGCTAAGCTTGCAATGCATTCTGGGACTTAATTTCCATTTTTTGGTAACTTAGAAGACAGTATAGCTATTTGAACACCCTTCACATGTAGAGTGCACCAACCATGCCTTACGATGCTGTCTATGCAGGTCACTGCAACAGATCTAAAGAGACATAAGGACACGGGTTCAAACTCTCCCCATTTTTCACTTTCCATTTTTCATTTTTCACTTTCACGCAAAGCATTCTGGGATTTCAGAAGAAAGAGAAAGAGTCCAACAGAAGGATAAAATGAGAGAGATGCAGACTAAAGAAGAGAGTGAGACGAAGAGAGAGAGAGAGAGAGAGAGAGAGAGAGAGAGAGAGAGAGAGAGAGAGAGAGAGAGAGAGAGAGAGAGAGAGAGAGAGAGAGAGAGAGAGAGAGAGAGAGAGAGAGAGAGAGAGAGAGAGAGAGAGAGACAAATGACTGCAGCAGAGGGAGGCATGACACACAGTGATATAGACAGATAAAGAGAGAAAGCAAAAGCAAGCGAACCAAACCAGAGATACCGAGAGCAACTTAGACTTTCCAATTAAGTGTCTCATTTACTCTCTAATTCCTCTTATTGAGAAATGCATTTGTTCAGATTTGCAGCAGCTGGCCTGTGATTTGAGCATGGTAATGGAAGAGAAACACCCCTGCCATATATTCAGACATCATTGCTCGCTGATGATTCCGTGAAGAAAAATACAGGCCAGAGATAACGGAAGAGGTGTGTTGGTTATTTTCAGGGTCAGCTGTAATGTTGCTGTAAATGGCTGACTGTCAGGAGATGGAAACCAACAGTGGCCTTGTGAGCATACAGTAAGATTAGATTTAATTATATTCGGTAGTCTTAGATTATTAGTTAAGCAAGGTCTACAATTGCCTTCACGATTTGTGACTAGTGAGAGTGGGCTTAAAAGTCAAGGCATACTGTGCAACATCAAGGGATTATTATGTCAGAATGTACAATCAGGGCTTAGGTCATGACTGATTACATTGCCTGGTTGTTCTACATTATTAATCGTGTCACGTTCTGATAGACAGAAGAAATTGAAATGGTACCGCACAAACCTAACAAAGCAAGACCTTGCACTAATATTTTCAATGTTTAGCCTTGAAAAGAAAAAAAAAAGTAGTCCGTGACTTCCCACAGGCTGTCGCGGCTGGACAAAAAAAGGGGACATTTGTAGACTTCATTATTCAGAGCATACCTGGGGTACAGTTACATGATCACCATGTGAATCGAACACTAAATAACAAGATATTTATTATGATTAATATATAGACAAGCTAGTATTAACATTATCAACTGAAAACCTCTCCCTTTCCTTCTCTCTCTTTCACACACACAAACACAGTCACACAAATTTCTCAGAACTTCTTTGGAGGCTCAGAATTAATAGTGGAAAATGCAGAACTGATCGCCATATTTATTCCTGTCATGGCAAAGCTGAATTTTCAGCAGCCATTACTCCAGTCACATGATCCTTCAGAAATCCTTAATGCTGATTTGGTATCAAGAAACATTTCATATTATTATTAATGTTGAAAACTGTTGTGCTGCTTAAAGCTGCAGTCGGCAAGTCTGGCAGATTTAGTGGACTTAGGCAAAATTTTGAATGTTTACAACTCTCATGGCCCTCCCCCACTATCAATGAATACCCTCCCACCGTGACCGAGTTCATGCTCGTCAGTGCGTGTGCACCAGATTTTCAGTGAACGCGCCCGTCTCATCAGCATCCATCAACACCATGGATTATTTGGAGGTATGCTGTCCTGGCTAATTTACCGATAGATTGCAATTGCTAACGTCATTTATACTCTAAATAAGCTTAATTGATTTTCCGCTATTACTCTTCGTTACTGCGCGAACTTCCGCGAACTTCAGGCGTGTGCATGTGATTGTATCGTGCGTGAGGGGTGGCGTGTGCCCGATCTGTGATTGACAGTCAAATCTCACAACCCCCCTGCGCTGATTGGACCCGATGATCCGGGAGCGGTGGATTTTTGCAAAACAAATAACACGCTCCAGGTTGATTTAGAAGCTCGGGGTTTTTTCTAAAACCACTTTATTTATGTTGTTCTGTCGGATTATAGTGTCGATTTCACTGAATATGATCAAAAAAATGTTGCCGACGGCAGCTTTAATATTTGGAAATATTTGTGATGTTATTTTTTTTCAGAATTGTTTGATGAATAGAATGCCTTTAATGTCCCGTGTTATCAATTTAATGCATTCTTGCTAAATAAAAGTATTAATTTCTTTCAGAAAAAAAAAAACTTATATGAAAAATATTCTGGCATTTCACACAAGAAGTTTTTTGGGTTTTTTCAAGTGACAAAATAATAGATATATTGTTCAAACTTAAGACAAAAAGCATTGTGGCACTTTCTGGATGTCAAATGCAAGTGGAACATGCCCATAGTTAATGTGATGAACCACATCTGTAGCTCTCTGCTAGGAGAGCTGTGTGAACATAATGACCTTGGGACCCGCTGGTGAAAAGTAATTGCAAAAATGTGTAAGAAAAGGGAAGTCAGAATGAAACCATGAAATGGTTTTGGGATTAGGAATTATACTGTTGTGATAACATCAAGGCAACAGCATCCTGCTATAACAGCTGAATAACTGTGCGCATGTGTGTGTGTTTTCTCACCTTGCTGAGAGAGCGGTCACTGACACAGCGAGCCAGCTGCTGCGTCTCAGTGATCTGATCAGCCACCCTTTTCTGCTCATTGAGTTTCTCAGCGAGGGTCTCCAACTCAGTCAGAGCCAATTGTAAGGGCAGCCTGTCCACATGGCCAGTGGGAGTATTCTTCAGCATGTCCTAAAGACAGAGAGAGAGAATGAAACAGCAATAAGAGAGTAAGGATGGAAGAAAGACACCAAGTGAACAAGTAAAAGAAGCACAAAGAATCATTTGAGGAAGCTAATGGCATAGCGTAATGACTGCACCTCTACCACAGACAACACATTAGCCATTGTGATGTTGTATAGTACTATTAGCATTCATTTAAAGCTGCCAGTACCTTTACTCCCACTCAACGGCAAGAAAAGAGGGTCAGAATAACAGTACATCTCATGTTTAGGAGACAAGGATGTTGCCAGCTCTCTGGGAATCATTACCACAGAGCTGTGCACTGAAACAACAATCATTCACAAGCTCTCTCTGAGAAAGAGTGGAGAGCCGATAGACAGTGGCGACATTTACACAAACATTTTGCTCACTATTTTCATTCAAAAAATATTTAGCATAAACTGAAATATCAGCAGTCATTAAAATGGACAACTTTGAGTCAGGTACAATTAAACTAGACAAAATGCCAGTATTGCATGCATAACACCCATGCTGTACAGTTTAAATGGAGATGTGATAAATGTAAAATCTCTATAATGGAAATGATTATATTTTATTTCTACATATTATTTCTAGTCAATAAATCCTCAAATACTATACTGCAAAAAAGTTACTTTCTTACTAATTTGTCTTGTATTTTTAGATTTTCAGTAACAATATCTAAACATAATTAAAACAAGATGAATTTACTCATAATGGGTCTCATTCATGAAACATTCGTAAATATACGAGTAAATATGCGAGTGATTTGCGCGTAAAGAGACCTTCCCAAAAACTCTTCTCCTGCTTCACAAATACTTTGTAAATGTCAGATGTGATAGTGAAATGTGTGTGTGTGTTTATGAATTCCAATCAGTCGTAAATGGGATGCGCGTGCACGTTCATTCTCAATTACCATAAATCCCGCCCATTAAATCCGACAAACAACTATATATGGGCATCATATTATGACATGAATGCGAATGAAAAAAAAAAATTCTCAGATGCAGAAAGTTACGTTTTATTATCAGAAGTTCATTCAAAACGCTCCATTTTATTTTCAAGCGTACATAGTGGCGTATCGGGTCCTAAAAAAAAAGGAAGCTTGGCAGCATATTACAGATGCAGTTAATGGAGTTTCATCTGTTAATCGAACATTCCCAGAAGTGAGAAGAAAATGGTTCGACATTAAGCTTGAGAGCAAAAAACGAATTAGTTCACTTCGGAAAAAGAGTATTCAAACTGGAGAAGGACCACCATCGCAGATGCTATTACTGGCTCTCATAATAAGAAAAACCGTATGTAATTACTATATATAATATTTTTTCAAAATGCTGTGCAAATATGTACCCGATTAAGGTGAATTAAAATGCAGCCTTATTAATGAGCAAAACGTTCGGGTGTTAAGCGCACTATTTACGCGTGGCTGGGAGCAGGTGTAGATTTCTTGTGTACCAACTAACATTTGGAAAATACGAACATTTTAATGAATCCGAAAATTTACGCCAGAACCACTTTACACACGATTTACACAAAAATTCGTTCTGCTTGTGTTTCATGAATGAGACCCAATGAGATTTTAAAGACAATGTAGTATCTTGAATTTAACGTTTTCTTTATTAAGTTTAGTTTGAAGCATAATCCAAGCACTTGTATTCATATGCACTTAGTATTCAGTACAAAATAGTGTCAGGTTTTATGTCAAACGCCACTGGTTAATCCAAGTCAAATACATAATTATGAATGCAATGATGAATAAGAGAGCTGTGGCAAAACAGCGGATTATCGATAAACAATAACTACTTAAAAATTACTTAAAAGCACAAACGTCACTATTTTATGACACTTTTATGGTGTTTATTTTGGCCCTTTTAAAATTAAGTTTAAAATACCAGCCATACTGTATGGAAAAGGGCAGCTTAGACATTCTGCTTAACATCTCTTTTCATGTTTCAAATAAAATGTGTCCCTTTGTGGTTGATTTAGGCCACTAAAAAAGAGAAAGCAGATAAAAGAAAGCTCTCAGCCTGTCATCAGATCTTGTTCTGTTTAATGTGTGATTAAACACAAGCTACTCCTATGTCAGAGCATTGAAGAAGAAAAAAATCGTATTCACATTCATAACTTATCTATCAAAATTCACAGATAATCGATGCCTACTGAGGTATGAAATGAAGTGCCACAGCTCCTCTCGCATGGGAAACTTCAGCACTGACTTCCTCGCTTGCTCCTTGTCCGTAGAAACGAACAAAAGTGAAGGAAGGACATGAGAGAAAGCAACACGGTGGTGCAAACAGTTTGGCGATGGAAATCTGGTAAATTCATGACATGTCACTGTCATCTGAGACCCGCTGGCTGAAGATATTTCTGAAGTAGATCTTGATAATTCTCTGACATTTTAGCATGTAAGTTGTGTGTGTGACAGATTGGATATTTGAAATGTTTTTTGTTTTGTTTTTAGAAATAGTTCAACCGTAAATTACAATATAATTTACTCAGCCTCATGTCTTTCCAAACCAATTTGACTTTGGGACACAAGTGGAGAAATATAGAAAAATGCAACAACCGTTTATTTTTATATGCTGAAAACTAATGGGGAATCATTTGTCAAGTTTCAAAATGGATTAATGGATTCCATATGGCGTCAGAATATTTATATTCGGAATATAGTGCACAAATCATTGACACTTTTGTGATGTTTTTTGTTTCATTTTTGCACTATAGTACATGGAAAATAAAATAGTGACAAGTATATTCTTCAAAAAAAAATATTTGGGGGTTTCACAGAAGAAAGTTTTGGTGTGACCTACCTCTTTTATTCAACTAAAGTGCATGCTTGTTTTTGGTTTATTCATGTGCTCTATTTAAACATCAGTCATTGGAGTCCATGGTACACACCCAATGCCGAGTCATGGCCGTAAATCAAGGGGAGAGTAAACTATTGAGACAACAGCCTGGCAGAACAACTGGCATGGTCTTAGCCAGTCATTCAGTTTCTAATAGACTTGCCTAGCAACTAATTTCCAGTTCCCTGAAGGAGCACGTCCCCTCCAGTACTCTGAACAGCGGCACTGTGTGAACAGTTTATGGGTAAATACTGACCTGCAGGAGGAGTATGAACTGAGGAAAACGCTGAATAGGCTTCACCATCAGACCATAGAGGGTTATGCGGTCAATGCTGGATGCCTGCTTCTTCTGCAAAAGTAAGAACAAGTGCCCAATGAGAGAAAAGCAAAGAAAAAGAAAAGGGTAGATCATGTGGAAGGTCATTTCCACATACAGAGAAGAAGAATCTTGACACTCAAGGGAGTCAGAGAGGTGGGTGGAGGTTAGCATTATACTATTGATTCTTTCGTGCCTGCTAGCAGACTATGGCAGTCATTAGACTGCACACTGTCAGAGAGTAGGTGTACTTGAGAGCCCTCCAGCAGGTTTCAAAGCAGGGATATTAGACTACGGTCAACTGTGTATTTGTGGAGTTCAGCTGCTTTAACAGATGTTAAAGATTACAGTCACAGGGAAAATTTGTTGCCATGACAACACAACACACATATTTTATGTAACTTTAAAGCAACACCAAGGAACTTTTCCTCTGCGGTCGCCCTACAGGTTGGAAGCGGAATTGTCCATTACATTATTGTCCAGTATGTTCTGTCTCGCATGCGCGCTCTAGATTCCGGCAGATTTGAACTAATTTTCGGGCATCAGGGAGACGCTATCAATATGCGGGAGACTCCCGGGAGACTTGGGATGTCTGCAATGGCCACAGACAATTTGAGGAAGTGGTGGGGGAAGTGACGTATACCGTAAAGCATTTGAATTTTGTAGTTCTTTTTGTGCAAGGGGTTCCTACCCGAAACCCGAAGTTACATAGTGCGAGTAAAAGCGATACAGATCACGTCAGGCTATGGCAGACGTGTCATTTAACTTATTTTAAGTCGATGTACCATCACAAGGGTCTTGGAAATATATTATGAAGGTTGAAAAACTACATAGTGTTACTTTAAAAAACAGATAACCTCAATCTCATATTTACAAGGCAGAATATTTTGCCAACACTTAGAGACATGTTACATTCATTATTAGAGTACAAGTGGCTCGCCTGAAATGATCCAAGCGAAAGATGTTCACTCTCAGATTAACCTCGAAGCTATTAAAATTAATGTCCAATGACTTCTCGTGTTTTTAATTACTCTCATTTTTCAGTTAAAATGTGGAAAAATCTTTGAAAAAAGGTCTCAAATTACTTGAGAAGCAACACTGCATTAGATTTGAAGACTTTTTGGAGAATGAATCGTTAATAAAAAAACCAAAGACTTTCTGTGCTGTTTTTAACTTGTTTATATGAAAAAAAGCTGCCATTGCAGAAAGATAAAATAAAGTGAGTGCGATCCAAACACCATTGACATACATGGACTTTCACAGTATGGGCAACAATTTTAAAAATCGTCTTTTTTATGTTCCACAGAAGAAAAAATGGCTACACTTTACAATAAGGTTCATTAGTTAACCTTAGTTAACATGAACTAGGCTGTAAGAATGAACAATACTTCTTCAGCATGTATTAATCTTAGTTAATATTAATTTCAACGTTTACTAATACATTATTAAAATCAAAGGTGGTATTTGTTAACATTAGTTAATCCACTGTTAACTACCATGCACAAACTATGAACAGCTGTATTTTTTATTAACTAACACTAATAAAGATGAATAAATACTGTAACAAATGTATTGCTCATTCTTAGTTCATGTTAGTTCATACATTAACTAATGTTAACTAATGAACCTTATTGTAAAGTGTTACCGAAAAACATATTCACACGTTTGGAACAACAAGAGAAAACATACTTCCCAAAATAATTTTTTGCCGTGCAAAAGGGAAAATTACAGGAATTATCCATACAGCAGCACAGCTCTGCAATGCACAGAGGTGATTTAGGGCTATTGGCAGCAAATATCAGCTCTTACCTTGAGGAACTCCAGAAATGCTGGTTTAGAGATGCAGGCTTTCTTAATGAGGGCCATGGCATTGGTGAAGTTATTGACGTAATCACTATATACATCCAGCACCATGGACTTTGAGAACTATGGGGAATGCAGAGAGAAGATTGTTTAGATAAATCACATTTCACTTGGTTTTATGTTCATTTTCTGCATTGTTTCAGCAGTCTCAATATGTACAGTTCCTCCTTCGGAGCTGAGACTGCTCTTAAATTTTGCTGTTGTGGCGGGCAGGCCACTCTAAAGGTGATTAAAGGGCAAAGGGATGGAAGTAAACAGTAATTTTAGGGTGGTATTTATGCAGTGCAGCAGCATTGTTTGCCATCTCAGAGACCTAAACATCTTTGACAGTCCATTACTGCTGGGTGTTTTAGAGCAGGCAAAATGGCAGCCATCCATTCGCTCTGCTTTGATTGAAGCTGAACAGACCTGCTGACAGCAGCAGTGCTCGCAGGACTTGGAGAGGACATTAACGAGCCACAAATAGACGTTAACCCCTGTCAAACTGTACCTTCCCTCTGGGGCCGCCAAGTACGGCAGGAAATGATACACATGGGTAAAGATGTTATTATCAACAAACACGCATACAGGGCAAATTCACGAAACAGTTGAAGCACTTTGCAGCGTGCAGTATTTCAGTGCAAAACTATTAGCAATGTGCTATGAATAGCTATTTAACTGAATTTTATTAATAAGAGATGTCTGTATACGTTTTCTATTGATCATGGCAAAATAATGTCATAACCAAGCATGTCATAATACAGAGCAGATGAGTACAATGTCTTCATTTAAAAAAACCTATTTGGGTATTTTCTTTGTGCCATTACCTGATTTGCATAATAAATCTGGTGCTGAAACAACACAGACAATGCATGCAAATAAATGATGCTATCTGTGTCTGCAGTTCAACCTTTACACTCAATAACAGAAAAAATGTGCAAACTGATGCAATATGATGTGTGTCATGTGGTTTGTGGGTCTATTTTCTGCTTTTCAACACACAGCAGTGCAACTTCAGCTGTAAGTGTTCTCTCTATCGTACTGCTTTGTGCTCCAGGGACATTACAAAGACCAATAGTGCTATGCAATAAAAGCAGGTCAGAGGGGCCAAACGCACTCTTTTAACAGAAGAATAATGAGAGCACCTTATGGATGCAGCCTGTGAGGAGGGTCACTACAGAAACCTCATTCATTAGTCCACTGGACACCCTGCAGCCCAAAGGTGCCAGCATGCTTACTTTGGTAAGAGACAGCCATCTTCAACTTATATAGTAATTGGCTATGCTTTTTAAGTAAACTGAGCACTGTTAGTACCTGAAATACAGCTTGCCAGCAGAGAAGCAGAACAGCAGACAATGCTCAGTTTGTCACGGGTTGTTGCAGGCAAAGGAGAGATTTGAAGCAAGGATCTAGCAGTTTAGCAAGGACAAGTTCGGTATTTTACACTTAAAGCCCTGTTTCAAGATCGTTTCTAATGAAATAGAACGGTTAAGATTAAAATTTGGACACATGCTGCTGTCCCGAGAAATTTCGGTTTCTGTGGTTGCAGATTTGAGGATCTAAATTCAGCAGTCTTTACTAAACAAAACTAAAAACTCTGGAACGCAGGAGAACAGGAAGCACGCAGGAGGAAACACGCAGGAGTAAAGCAAACCAACCTAAACATTGACAATATCGTCCATGAACTGAACTATATAAAGAGGAATTAAACTAGTAAGAGGTGAACGTAATTAACTGGAAACCAAATCAGTAACCATGGAGACAAATGACATGGGTAAGGAATCTGTGAACGAACTGAACTCAAAGACCTGGTCAAAACGTGACACAGTTTTCAAAAGTTTAGTTTAGAAGTAATTTTCAAGCATTTTCGTACTCACTGAAGCAACAAACAGGTCCCCAATCTTTTCACAAGAGTCCCATTCGGCCACCCGAGATGCCAGGGCAATCTGGAACATGGAGTGGCACTGCATGATCTCCCACAGACGGAAAAAAATAGGCCGGATCTTCCTGACACTGAGAATCCGAGGCTCGGCCTCCATCAGAGGTCGCTGGTATTCCTAAAGGATCATGGGAAATGGAGATGTTATTACTAAAACATTTTTATATTTATACAGGAGGAATAATTCATTTACAGCTCTGACTTGCTTCACCTTGACAAGGGAGGGAGATAAAAAAAATGTGCTGAATTAATCTTAACAGTAAGGTGAAAAAAATCACTAAAAGTCTCACTATGCATTATCCATTTCATTCGTTTGAATACAAGATTCAAAATGTCCAATTTGCATATATGAATATATATTTTAAATAATGCATGTATTTGACAGAGGTGGGAACAACCAGATCAAGTCAGTAGCTCACATCAAGCAAGTCCAGTCAAGTCCTATTTATTTTTCCGTAGAAATTATTAACTTTAATTATACATGTAAAATAATAATAAATAATAATTTCTTATAATATTTATAATTATTATAATAACAATAACACTATAAGAAGAAGGTAAAATCACTTGAAGGTGAATGCACTGATTTTCATTTGTCTTGTTTAACTTTACTTTTATTTTTTCTATGATTTATCACCTCACAGTGACAGAAATTAATTTTCCCATTAAAGGCCAATATTTTCCACCTTAAATTGAATTGCTTGTTAAATATATGCATCATCTTAGAGGTGGCATACAGTCATGGTCAGAATTGATGGCACCCTTGGTAAATATGATCAAAACTAGCTGTAAAAAATAAATCTGCATTGTTTATCCTTTTGATCTTTCATTAAAAAAATTGGCAAAATTCTAACCTTTCATTGAAGTAAAAGATTTGAAAGTGGGGGGGAAATCACATTATGAAATATTTTTTTTTCTCCAAAACACGTTGGCCACAATTATAAGCACCCCTAGAATATTTTACGAGTAAAATATCTCTGAAGGATATTCCCATTAATATTTACCCTTTTTTAGCACACCAGGGTGACTAGGAACATGAAATTGTCCAGCCATGACTTCTTGTTTCACATGAGTTTAAATATAAGGAAACAAAAATGCCAAATTCCCTTAATCATCCATCACAATGAGTTAAACCAAAGAATATAGTTCTGATGAGCATCAAAAGATTGTTGACCATCACAAAATAGAAAGTGACTGTAAGAAAATAGCTAAAGAATTGAAAATCCCCATTTTGACCATCAGGGCAATAATTAAGAAGTTTCAATTAACTAAAGATGTTAGGAATCTGCCAGGAAGAGGACGTGTGTCTATATTGCCTTAATGGACGGTGAGGATGAAAGTTTGAGTGGCCAAAGACTCTTCAAGGATCACAGACGGAGAATTGCAGAGATTAGTTGAATCTTTGGGGTCACAAAGCCTATAAAATAAAAATCAAACAACCCCTACATCACCACATGTTGTTTGGGAGGGTTTCAAGAAAAATCCTCCTCGTTCATCCAAAAACAAACTCCAGCTAATTCAGTTGTCAGACACGGCTGGATCTTCAAACGGGACAGGCTTCTGTGGTCAGATGAAACTAAAAAAAGAGCTTTTTGGCAGCAAACACGCTAGATGGGTTTGGTGCACACAAGGATAAAAAGTACCCCATGTGTACAATTTAATAAACCGTTGGATCTTTAATGTTGTGGGCATATTTTTCTGCTGGAGGTCCTGGACTTCTTGTTCAGATACATGGCATTGTGGATTCTATCATATATCAACAGATAAAAAATCAAAACCTGACGCCTTCTGCTAGAAATCTTATAATGGGTCGTGGTTGGATCTTCCATCAGGACAGCAATCCAAAACAAACATCAAAATCAACACAAAAATTAGTTACGGAGCACAAAATGAAGCTTCTGCCATGACCGTCCCAGTTCCCTGACCTGATGAGTGGAGTGAACTGAAGAGAAGAAGCACCAACATGGATCTGGGAATCTGAAGAATCTGGAGAGATTCTGTATGCAGGAATGGTCTCTGATCTCAGGTCAGTTGTTCTCCAAACTCATCAGGCATTATAGGAGAAGACTCGGAGCTGGTATCTTGTCAAAAGGAGATTGCAAAAAGTATTTAATAAAAGGGTCCCAATAATTGTGGCCAACGTGTTTTGGAGAAAAAAAAATGTATTTCATAATGTGATCCCCCCCCCCAACCCCAACCCCAACCCCCCAACCCCCCAACCCCCCACACACACACACACACTTTCAATTCTTTTACTTCAATGAAAGGTTAGGATTTTGCCCATTTTTTTAATGAAAGATCAAAAGGATAAACAATGCAGATTTATTTTTTTACAGCCAGTTTTGATCATATTTACCAGGGGTGCCATCAATTCTGACCATGACTGTAAATGCATTTATACTGCAATTACAACTGCATAAAACATATTATGAGATTCATGTTTTAAATAACTTCTCTCACATTTTATAAGACCTAAAATGACAAAGAAGAAAAACAACAAAGGTTTACATTACATACAGGAGGTGGGTAAAAGTTAACAAAATTTTGTCTGTCTACCCACATTATCAAATTCAAAGTGTGCTCAGCTAAATGTTTGATAAGTTTGATTTCGTTAAATTGCAAAACAAGCTAGTGATGTCTATTGATAAACCAAGACTTAATCTTTAAAAGCAAAGACACTTTGCTAGTTAGACTGTGGACACAATAGATTTTTCATGGCTGCTTTCTTTCCTATCTTGGAGTCTCCAGCGCTAATGAATTATCGACAAAGAGAAATAAGACAAAGGATGAGGCAATGGGACTATTTCTTTTTCTAAAGATGTGTCTGACTGCCCACAACAGCCGTACTAAACTTAATTATGCAGACCCCCATCCCCCTGCTTTTGGGCAACTTTACCTGATCTAACCACCCTGTCTAGCATGCTATAAAGAGAGCAGGAATTGTAAAGTACACCCGACAGAGCTTTGATTTGACAACAAAGCTTGGAGATAGATCCTGAATGACTAGATTTCATAGAGCGTAAAGCTGTCATTGATCGGTGATTCAATTTTATACTCTGCCTGTGCCTTCAAAGGAGTGTGATAACAAATGCTTTTCTCTCCTCCACTAGCTGAGATCAGAATTATGTGTAATGAAACTCCACACTACGAAACCCACCAGACCTGCATGCTTCCATTTAAAGGAATGTGAATGTGAACACAAATTCAGTATTAAAGACAATGTATAGTGTTATCTTTTGTTTGAAGGCTTTGAATAGCTGTTTTAATGTATGCTAAACACGCATTTTCAGAAACAGTTAACATGGCAATAATATTTAGCATTTTAACTACTTTTCTGAATTTATTTGAGTATGAATTTATTTGACGTATCAAAGCACTGAGTAGGGATGGCTCGATACCACAATTTTGGCTTCGGTACCAGAACCTAATACCTCGGTATCGATACTAAATCGATACCACAGGTAGTAAAAAAAAAAAAAAAAAAACAGTCTCAAAATTTAAGTGACACTTAAAAAACACTGCTTGAAATTCTCCACTACCAAATGTGCAAAGAAAATGTATCAAATTGTAAAAAATAAAATAAAAATAAAAAATCAGTCAGGGAACATACAGTAGGTTAAATTTTGATTTTGAAAAAAAAAAAAAAAAAAAACTGAAATTATACAATTAAAATAGGTTAATATCTATAATAATAGATTTACATATAATAATAATGATAGAATAATGAAATGACATGTAAACCATTAGCTGTCATGCATCAACAAATATTTATCAACATTTATTGCATTTATTCATCTTGGTTTGGTTACTGTTTGGGTTCATATTAGTTTAATGCATTGCATAAAGTAATGTTAACATGCTAAAAACATGTATTAGTAAATTTAATTTTCTAGGTCATTTAATTACTGATTGATATAGATTAATAAATGCTATATTACTGTTAGGTCAGGTTACCTAATGAATGTTGACAAATGTAGCTTAATTGTAATATTAGTAATAATTTCATATACTGTTACTCTCTCCCTCTCTCGGCTTATTGCTCTAGGGGTCGCCACAGCGGCATTAATATGCCATTCATTTTACTATCACTAATACTAAAATTCATATTATTCACATTTTTATTCTTTATTCATTCAAATTAAATTAATATATGTTTGTTTGAAAGTGCAAAAATGATGAGACCTAAACTTAATTGGTTCTAGCGTGTCATCCAAGCAGATTTGAGCTTTCGTGTTTACCGTATCATATATAATTGATAAGCTCTTATGTATGTGATTGTGCGCTGTTCAATAAATATGGAGCGAATTATGTGCCAAAACCTCACACACACACAAAACGTGTTTTACTCACACCCAATGATTCACAAACAAACTCAATGTGATAATCCAAGGCACTCGAGTTGTGTATACAAAAAAGTAAAAAGCCTTTATTGAATCATGGCTTCTATCATTAAAATTGGTGACAGATACACCTACGCGTTGCGGCTATCGCCTTCGTCAGGGTGTGTGTAACAAACAAAGTCACAAGTGCATTTTAAATAGCAGTTCATTAGTCTAAATAGCAAACACCTGGTCACACACTACGCAAGGTAACCAGCAGGGAGCAGAATTCAACAAATGAAATAGTATATTGCATAATATCAAGCCAAATCAAACTCAAAAAAAAAAAAAAAAAAAAAAAAAAAAAAAAAAAAAGATATATACATATACATATATATATATATATATATATACACATACATATACACATACACATACATACATATATACACATACATACACATACAAAAAAAAAAAAAAAAAAAAAAAAAAAAAAAAATATACATATATATACATATACATAAATATACATATACACATATATATACACATACATATACACATACACATACATACATACATACACATACATACACATACATAAAAAAAAAAAAAAAAAAAAAAAAAAAAAAAAAAAACCTTTAATTGAAATATTTTCAGCAATATCTAGATTACATTATACAAATCAAAACATAACAATAAAATAAAGTAGAGCAAAAAAATCATATCAAAATATACACGTCAATGGATGTATACATCTAATGGTACACAATACAACTAATTTCATGAAAAATTTCACAGAAATGGTACAAAATCTAATTCTCCATTTAAACCTGGGAATGTGGTGGCTTTCAGTGAGTAAATCCAGAAAGATTCTCTTTGTAGTAACTTCTTAACCCTATCCCCTCCTCTTATGGACTTGGGGATGTGTTCAATACCGATTATCTTGAGTGTATTAGGACTACCATGGTTTGTATCTCTGTAATGAATGGCCATAGGATATAGAGGGTTACAGATTCGAATGGCGTTTTTATGCTCTGATAATCGTATCTTTAGTTTTCTAGTCGTCATCCCTATATAGAAACATCCACATGGACACTCTAACCTGTAGATCACAAATGAGGTATTACAATTAATGAAAGATCTTATTTTCAGTTCGGAGTCAGAGGTTACGTCTCTAAATGTTTTTGTCCTGATCATATTATCGCAGTGATTACAGTTGCCACACCTGTAATTTCCTGCACTTGAACTTAACCAGGTATTGGCTTTCTTAGGAGAAAGATGACTTCTCACTATTTTGTCTTTAATTGTTGGTGCTTTCCGAAATGCAATGGAAGGAGATTCGGGCATGACTTGTTCAAGTGCAGGAAATTACAGGTGTGGCAACTGTAATCACTGCGATAATATGATCAGGACAAAAACATTTAGAGACGTAACCTCTGACTCCGAACTGAAAATAAGATCTTTCATTAATTGTAATACCTCATTTGTGATCTACAGGTTAGAGTGTCCATGTGGATGTTTCTATATAGGGATGACGACTAGAAAACTAAAGATACGATTATCAGAGCATAAAAACGCCATTCGAATCTGTAACCCTCTATATCCTATGGCCATTCATTACAGAGATACAAACCATGGTAGTCCTAATACACTCAAGATAATCGGTATTGAACACATCCCCAAGTCCATAAGAGGAGGGGATAGGGTTAAGAAGTTACTACAAAGAGAATCTTTCTGGATTTACTCACTGAAAGCCACCACATTCCCAGGTTTAAATGGAGAATTAGATTTTGTACCAATTCTGTGAAATTTTTCATGAAATTAGTTGTATTGTGTACCATTAGATGTATACATCCATTGACGTGTATATTTTGATATGATTTTTTTGCTCTACTTTATTTTATTGTTATGTTTTGATTTGTATAATGTAATCTAGATATTGCTGAAAATATTTCAATTAAAGTTTTTTTTTTTTTTTTTTTTTTTTTTTTTTTTTATGTATGTATGTGTATGTATGTATGTATGTGTATGTGTATATGTATGTGTATATATATGTGTATATGTATATATATGTATATGTATATATATGTATATTTTTTTTTTTTTTTTTTTTTTTTTTTTTTTTTTTTTTTTTTTTTTTTGTATATGTATGTATGTGTATGTATGTGTATGTATGTGTATATATGTATGTATGTGTATGTGTATATGTATGTGTATATATATATATATATATATATGTATATGTATATATCTTTTTATTTTTTTTATTTTTTTATTTTTTTTTATTTTTTTTTGAGTTTGATTTGGCTTGATATTATGCAATATACTATTTCATTTGTTGAATTCTGCTCCCTGCTGGTTACCTTGCGTAGTGTGTGACCAGGTGTTTGCTATTTAGACTAATGAACTGCTATTTAAAATGCACTTGTGACTTTGTTTGTTACACACACCCTGACGAAGGCGATAGCCGCAACGCGTAGGTGTATCTGTCACCAATTTTAATGATAGAAGCCATGATTCAATAAAGGCTTTTTACTTTTTTGTATACACAACTCGAGTGCCTTGGATTATTACTTTGATTTTGAGCATTACTATCCCAAGCAACCAAAGAGCACCGATATTTTACACCCTGTGCAGCACTTCAAATGCATCTTTATGCTGTGACAAACTCAATGTGGTTTGTAAATACGAAACATCACTCACAAACTAATGCATATTGTTCTGCAAATAAAAAACGTACCTATCAAACAAATACAGTATGTTTTACATATACATAGAAACGTATTTCTTCAATGACAAAAATATCATCCAAGTACAAACTAAAATCTTTCAAGTACAAAACAAAATTCTACAAGTACGAAACAAAAACATTCAAGTACAAAGCAAAATTCTACAAGTACAAAGCAAAATTCTACAAGTACAAAGCAAAATTCTACAAGTACAAAGCAAAATTCTACAAGTACAAAGCAAAATTCTACAAGTACAAAACAAAATTCTACAAGTACGAAAAACTGTCACGTGACTTTTGACACTATTTTTCCGCGTCCAGGCAGATTTTCTCACAAATGCAGTTGAGCAACTTCCTCTTCTAGAACAGTAGATGGCGCCAAGATAGGGGATCAATTTCGCGCTAGTCTCTCGGGAGAAACACTGATGTGAAAAGCGTGCTTGCCTTCGCCCATGGGAAAATGAGCGGTGAACAGGTGTGTTTCTGTCTTACTTTATCTATAATTTACCTTATTGAGGTTTTGGTAAATGTTTATTATATAGACAGAAATCCACATTAGCACTTAGAAGCACTCCACTCTAGGATAAGGGAATCTATAAACTGAAAGCTCTGCCATCATGTTGCTTTTTACATTTTTGTAAAAACGTTTCATTTACTGAATGAGTCTATTTCTTTCGTTCTCCATAAATTAATGAGAACATTTCATTTAATTGAAAGGGTCCCACTTATTCATTAATTTAGTTGGAATTCAGTCAGCGTAACTGTTAATGTAATAAAATAATGAATGAACAAAACAAACAATATACAATTGTTTCTTAACTTCCCTGTGACGTATTGCTCAAATTATTATTTTGGACAGACAAATGAAACCCTCCTTTCAATTAAATTAAATGTTCTCATTAATTTATGGAGAACGAAAGAAATAGATTCGTTCAGTGTACATAATCACTAATTTAGTAATTTCACACGCGTCTTATGTGGATTTTTTTTTTAAAGCAACATATGATCGAGCTTTCAGCTTAGATTCCCCTATCCTAGAGAGAGTGAAGTGCTACTAGCGGTAATATGGATTTTTGTCTCTTTGAACAACTCTTTGAACAAGTCAAGATGAGCAACTGACAAGTGCTATAGGCAGATTTGATGTGTTGCCTCCCCGTTTGCAGAGTGGTGAATTGAGATCTGTTTCTTTACTTTTCTCATTACTTTTGTTGGCAAAGTAATGCCTTATTTCACTCATACTGCTCTCTCTATTTATTAATTTCAGGCGTGTAGAAATTCGAATGAGCTTCGTTTGATCCATCGTGTTCCTCTGTTGTCACCGTTTGCCGGTTTCGCGTGACCCGCGTCAGTTTAGGTAGCGCACTGCCGCCTAGCGGTGAACTTCGAAACAGCAGCGCATCAAATACCGAATTGAACAAAATTATGATATTGTACCGTTTGAAATATAATATATACCGGTTTTTTTGCAGTACCGGTATACCGCGCATCCCTAGCACTGAGTTTCAGTTTGATCTTAGTACGCTGAAAATAAAAAGACACCAAGACTTACCAAAGTTCTCAAAACTTTCTGTTATGTGTAAACATATTGTCACTCTACTAAATCTATCAAAAGTGTATTTTTTTTTCTTTCTTTTTTATTTTTCTTTCACCAACACAGCTGTTCTTGGAACAGATGCAATGGCATGTGAAATCATCCATTTTACCTGTAGGATCCGTTTAAGAGAGTCCAGGTAGCTCCTCTCGCTCTGCACAATGGAGCTCAAAATGTGGCGTCGGACGATCTGTGGATGAGATGAAAAACATTAAGTAGGACATCACACCAGAGAAATCAAATATTATTTATATTTGAAATAGAAATATTTTGTAACACTTTAAATGTGTTTGAATGCATCACTTTTGATCATTATGATGTGCCCTTGCTGAATAAAAGTATTAATTTCTTTAAACTGTAGTGTATATTTATATAATTACACATCAGTGTATTTTAATACAATATTTATATTATTAAAACAATAAATATACCAGGTCTCTAACTGCAACTAAATGGTCTTATTTTGCTAACTTTTTTCCTGCCAGTGCAACTACTTTTTGTTAGAGGTCATCCTGGTGCCACTAACAATTTGTTAAACTGATAAACGCTGCCATTTCTGTTGCATATGAGAAACATTAAACAGAAAACGCTGCAAAAGCAGACCGAATCTGAACAAAGGGCCTCATTCATGAAACTTGTAAATATATGAGTAAATTCTATGTAACTTGTGCGTAAAACTGACCTTCCCGAAAACTCTCCTCCGGATTCACAAATGCTTAGTTAACATCAGATTTGATATTTAACAGTATGTACAGTATGTTAATGAATTCCAATCATTCTAAAATAGGGTGTGTGCATGCACGCTCATTAACAATTAGCATAGTCTTCGCCTACGAATGACAACTACGTAAATTACATGTCCAGGAATGCTGTGGAATCTTCTGGACTCCCTTCTCAGGTTTGGCTCCAGTATTTAGCATGAATGCAAATGAGACCAACTGGCCATATGCCTAACAATAAATGTTCAATTAATGTGTGTCTAAAAAAATAACAGGCCCTCTTCTGAAGACAGCCAGCGTGTCAACGATTGAGAGCACCCTGCAGAAGTTGATGGGCCCCACTGACTTCCATAGTATTTTATTCCCATACAATGGAAGTCAATGGGGTCCATCAACTGTTTAGTTACCCATTTTTTTTCAAATATCTTCTTTTGTGTTCAGCAGAAGAAAGACATTAATATAGGTTTGGAACAACTTGAGAATGAGTAAATAAATGATGACAGAATTTTCATTTTTGGGTGAACTATCCCTTTAAATGCAGTTGTCACTCTTGAAACTTTACAGTGTGTATGTGGCCTACATAATGTTTATGAGTGACTACATAAAAAGTAAGTCTACAATGTCGATTTGAATTTGGACAAGATGAGAGACTCGAAAGTAGGACAACAGAGAAATTAAAGTTCAATGCATTATGGTTACAATGGCATAGCTGTATGAATTTAAAGGGGTCATATAATGCCATTTTTGTACAAGCTAATATGATTCTTTAGGGTCTAAATTAAAAGTTTGTAATATACTTTAATTAAAAATTCTCATTAGTATTGTAAGAAAACACTTATTTTACCTGGTCAAAAACAGCTCTGTTTGCAGCACGCCGTTTCAGTGCATATGACTTTAAATGATCATGAGCTGCGCTCACTCCGCCCCTCTGTGCTGTGCATACACCGTTTGTAACACAATAACACAATAACCATAACGCGTTGTTCAGTATAAACGTGGAATTATTAATTATATTGAGAACGTCATACATAGAAAACATGCCGTAATGTACCCTGACTGAGTGTAAACCTTAGACGCATTCATTGTGAAGCGTGCAGCTAGCGATTTGCAAAGATTAATATATTAATATAAAGTTTAATAAAACGTTTCACTCACTTCCGTTCTTCTGGAGGTTCAGCAGGAACACGAATATCTGGTACCGATCCTTTTTAGCAAAGCTTCTTAGCAAATCCAGCTTTATACTGACCCTCGTTTATAAGGAGTCTGGTGTGTGAAATAATCCGCGCAAACATGAGAGCATTGACGTTGCTCATGTGGAATATTCCCTTCGAAAACAAACACAGCCACTGCGTCTTCAGCGGTTCGGATTCAGGAACATTAAAATGACTGTGTTCGTTATTACACCCAAGAACAGAACACCACAATCGCTTAGACGCCATTCTGCTCATAGACAGTGCTCCAGCATATCAACAATGACCGCGCCGGTCCGGTCCGCGCTGCGCAGACTATGATTGACAGCTACCTCATGTGCGAGGGCGGGTCTGTGTTGAAACGCTCCCGTCAATCAACAATCGTCGGAGGGGCGTCCGTTTTATTGACGTCACAAAAACGAACGGCTCGATTTGAGGCAGGGGAAAACATATAAGGAGATTAAAACAAAACCACTGGATGGATTTTTATCATTATATGATGTTTGTGTACAGGCACTGCCAACACACATTTCAGTACAATCAACTTGTAAAAGTGCATGTACCATTATATGACCCCTTTAAAAATAAAATTAACATTGATGCACATTTTACTACCAAAAATGAGTTCCCTCAAATGTGTATACCACATATACATACTACGTACATACTCAATTTAAAATATTTTTTTATAGAAATAAACACACTCACCTAAAGGATTATTAGGAACACCATACTAATACTGTGTTTGACCCCATTTCGCCTTCAGAACTGCCTTAATTCTACGTGGCATTGATTCAACAAGGTGCTGAAAGCATTTAGAAATGTTGGCCCATATTGATAGGATAGCATCTTGCAGTTGATGGAGATTTGTGGGATGCATATCCAGGGCACGAAGCTCCCGTTCCACCACATCCCAAAGATGCTCTATTGGGTTGAGATCTGGTGACTGTGGGGGCCATTTTAGTACAGTGAACTCATTGTCATGTTCAAGAAATCAATTTGAAATGATTCGAGCTTTGTGACATGGTGCATTATCCTGCTGGAAGTAGCCATCAGAGGATGGGTACATGGTGGCCATAAAGGGATGGACATGGTCAGAAACAATGCTCAGGTAGGCCGTGGCATTTAAACGATGCCCAATTGGCACTAAGGGGCCTAAAGTGTGCCAAGAAAACATCCCCCACACCATTACACCACCACCACCAGCCTGCACAGTGGTAACAAGGCATGATGGATCCATGTTCTCATTCTGTTTACGCCAAATTCTGACTCTACCATCTGAATATCTCAACAGAAATCGAGACTCATCAGACCAGGCAACATTTTTCCAGTCTTCAACTGTCCAATTTTGGTGAGCTCTTGCAAATTGTAACCTCTTTTTCCTATTTGTAGTGGAGATGAGTGGTACCCGGTGGGGTCTTCTGCTGTTGTAGCCCATCCGCCTCAAGGTTGTGCGTGTTGTGGCTTCACAAATGCTTTGCTGCATACCTCGGTTGTAACGAGTGGATATTTCAGTCAAAGTTGCTCTTCTATCAGCTTGAATCAGTCGGCCCATTCTCCTCTGACCTCTAGCATCAACAAGGCATTTTCGCCTACAGGACTGCCGCATACTGGATGTTTTTCCCTTTCCACACCATTCTTTGTAAACCCTAGAAATGGTTGTGCGTGAAAATCCCAGTAACTGAGCAGATTGTGAAATACTCAGACCGGCCCGTCTGGCACCAACAACCATGCCACTCTCAAAATTGCTTAAATCACCTTTCTTTCCCATTCTGACATTCAGTTTGGAGTTCAGGAGATTGTCTTGACCAGGACCACACCCCTAAATGCATTGAAGCAACTGCCATGTGATTGGTTGATTAGATAATTGCATTAATGAGAAATTGAACAGGTGTTCCTAATAATCCCTTAGGTGAGTGTACATATACATGCACCTGTTGGCTGCTAAGCCCATCTGGCATTGGTCCCAGTTGTGCAGGTGGGTGTTTTGCCTCGGATACCATTACATCCAGATACCCTGTATCATCCTCAGTGTCATCTGTCAGGATACACACACAAAAAAAAACATTCAAACATTTTATATATCCCTGCAAAGCTAAGAATACAAATTCACCTATTGTTTCAACTTAGTAAGGAACAGGGTGTTCTAAGCCACATCCAAGCATTCTTTCACTCGACGGTTACAAAAGAAAACCATCCTGCATACAATTTTGCACCTTTTCCCAAAGGCTTAAAATCTTCACACAAGTTTTTGCAGGCTCTCTAAATAATAAAATAAATTATAACAGAACCTCCAAATCAAATGTTTAGCACTATACGCAGTGTGGGATGGCATTTAAAGTGGTGTTTCAATAGGCATCACACCAGTCTCCACTTCCAAATAGTAATTTTCCCATTGTGCAGAAGGGCATTATGGGGACCAATCCCAGCCAATTTTCCTGTGCATCAAATGCCCTCATCAACTCATATCCCTACCATTTTATATGAAAGACCCAGTCTGATGTATAATACTTTCCTGCTTCATGACAAATATTTTACATCATCGTGTTTTTCAGGCTCTACCTCCAGGAGTCAATTCTCTACTTAAAAGCAGAATATAAGAAAGCATTCCATCAACCTTTTCTATCGCATCTGACTCTGTGGCTGTCAGATCATATGCCATCTCTAAAGAGGTCTAACTTAATTCAATGAACAGACCTGTTTCTTTGAGGGAGATAAAAAGCATTAGAAATGTATAATTGCCTCTTTCCTGAATGGGATTCTATCAAAGGAAAAGTGGACAGGATGAATGCTTGAAAGAAGATACATTCTCAAAAATATTCTTGGATTACCTGAGTGGTCCTTTTTATGTAGGAATGAAACTCTCCTCATCACAGCGATTTTGGTCTTCTCCAGGCCATCTTTCGTTCCGCTACGTGCCGCCCGCATCAGCTGATGGACCTGCAAAGGGACCAGAGGGGGACAGAAAGTCACAGGCAGTCCAGCTGGCGTTTCTCACCAGTGACGTTGTAGACCCTTATAGAAAAAGGTTGACCATCTCAAGCCCTCGAGCGTAAACAGCCATGCTTGGGTTTGCCTGCCATTTGTGAGGCACCAGTTCAGTGCAGCATGGCGGCAGTTGGGTGTGTGCTTAAGGGTCTGCTTCAATGGCCACAAGCCACAAGATCCTAAGTGTGTGAGAGAACATCAAGCTACAGAGATATTTTTAAATTAGAAAAAAAGGAGGCAGACGGCCCATCTTCGAAAGCAGGTCATTAATGGAGAGCATGTGGAAATGTCTTGCTCAAACCACATGCGAGCTGTTTACTTTATATATACACAAGTGTGCCCATATCAAATTAGAGATTAGGAAAGCTGAATCAAAATCCTTTATAGTGGAAGCAATTTGAATGGTTTGTTTACAACAGAATAAAAGAAAGTAAGAATAATACAGAGAGGGACTTTTAACGCAAAAGGAAAGGCAGAGGGTTCCAAATTGACCATAAGTTCCTTGGAAAGTGGACATGTGATAGATATGTGACTGTTACACATAAGTAGAGACACAATACTGTTCAAAAGTTTGGGGTTAGTAGATGTTTCACACATGCACACCAAGGCTGCATTTCTTTGATCAAAAATAAAGTAAAAGCAGTAGAATTGTGGAATATTATTGCAATTTAAAATATAATATATCATTTTCTATTTAAATGTATTTTAAAATATTATTTATTCCCTGTGATGGCAAAGCTGAATTTGGAGCATCGTTACTCCAGTCTTGTGTCACATGATCCTTCAGAAATCATTCTAATATCCTGATTTGGTGCTCAAGAAAAATCTCTCTTACTATAAATGTTGAAAACAGTTGTGCTGCTTAACATTTTAGTGGAAACCGCGCTACATTTATTTTTTACGGATTCTTTGATGAACAGAAACTTGAAAAGAACAGCATTTTTTAAATATTATAATTTTTCTTTTTTACTTTTGTGTCTTTAGTGCCACATTTGATTGGTTTAAAGGCCCCGGTATACTCACTTCCAAAGTTCTTTTTCGTTCGTCGGTTAGGGGTAAAAACAAGTTGGAAATACGTGAGTAGTGGTATAGAGAACATCCTGACGCCGCCCACAATGCTGAGAGCGGCGTTTAGATGAATATGTTCTGCGCGCATTCCTATCAATAACAAAATAAACACACAACAAAAATGACAGCGATGAGAAAATAGTAGTTATTAAAGCATCTGATCATAGCGCTGTGGATGTTTGCACAAGCTCTCTTTCAATTAGAATTACAACATTTTCTACTATAAAGCGGCTCTCCAGTGTGTTCATGTTTTTACTCCCGGACATCCGACCTCGAGGGACTGAACAGAAGAAATGAACCGGCGAAGATTTCAACGTTAAAGCAGGCGGAGCCTCAGTCAGAGCACACCTGCCTATTATGTAATCACCATGGACCAATGATAGTTCGAAGGTGTTTACCAACCAGAGCGAACTTTTCCGGAAAGTTCACTTTGGCAAGCTGTTTGAACCCCGAAATGAACACAAAATGAACTTTTTTTTGTCCCGTTGTTGCTCGAAATGACGTCACACTAGTTCACTCTTCGCTTGAAGTATATCGGGGCCTTGATGAATGGAAGCTTGTTTCCACCACTCAATAAAAATTAAAAAAAATGTAATTGCAACTTTTTATCTCACTTTTTTTATCGCAATTGCGGGTTTATATCTCGCAATTCTGACTTTAGAACTCGCAATAACGACTTTATATCTCGCAAGTCTGAGAAAAAAAGGTCAGAATTGTGAGCTAAATAGTCACAATCATATTTTTAATTGTATTATTCTGTGGCGGAAACATGCTTCCATAATGCATCTTTGCTGAAAAAGGTATTAATTTCTTTTTTTTAAAAATCTTAACCCAAACGTTTGCATGGTATTGTATATACACTGTAACTCAATCTATTATTTGTCATTTTATATTTCAATAGTAAAATATATTATATTACAAAAAAAAATGTTTGTAAAAAAAAAATCACAATGTAGACAACACCTATTATCTGCAGGCAGAGGTGGACAGTAACAAAGTATATTTACTTGAGTACTGTACTTAAGTACACTTTTTGAGTATCTGTACTTTCCTTGAGTATTATTTTTCTGGAAACTTCTTACTTTAACTTCACTACATTTGAAAGACAAATATCGTACTTTTTACTCCACTACATTTCTGTCAAGGTCCTTGAGTAGAAAGTAGTAACGTCAGTCAGGGGATGATTTTGGTTTGGAAATGAAAGTCAGATTGACTTCAGAACCCGACGTCGGACAAACGTTGGATTTTGGTTGGAAATGAAAGTCGGGTTGACGTCAAAGCCAAAAAACTTTAAATAGGGCACTATTTGAGGGAACAGCCATTTGGGTGTCTGAAACCATTATGGACGTTATTGAGTGCACTTATTCAATCTCACATTCAATCCCACTATACTGGAACTGTGTTCTAGAAATAAATGTGATATTATTGATATGAGGGTAGGCAGGCATAGATTCAGAGGCATAAGGTACTGTAAGTATTACATACAACAATAATAAAACAATGCATTGACGTTTACTTTTTACTTTTGATACTCAAGTACTTTTAAAAATGAGTACTTCTGTACTTTTACTCAAGTAAAAATCGGTCTTTACAACTTTTACTTGTAACGGAGTAATATTTGACCAGTAGTATATGTACTTTCACTCAAGTAAGGAAGTTGCGTACTTTGTCCACCTCTGTCTGCGCGACTTAAATTCATATGACAAAACTCTATTTCCAGCTGTGTTTGTAGAGATCAGTGAACACCCCATACAGACCCTGTGATTTAAAACATACAAAAGAGAGACAGAAAAGCAAGACAGGGACAGACAACTCAAATGAAGAATGAAGACTTACCCTGCAAAAAAAAAAAAGAGACTAGCATATTGCTGTGCTTTGGATGTGTTGGTTAGCAATAACAGACCAGCATGGAAATTCAAACTAGTCTTTTTAGCAGAGAAAAGTGAGAAAGAGAATATGTAATCTTGAACGCAGGTGACTGATCGCCTCTATTGAAAGCTCTGAGCTGGTTCACCCCCATGAAGCCCATTCTTCCCCATACGTGCTTGAGTGTACCTGATGTCTGCCCCCCAGTCTCATGGCTAGCTCCTGTTTGGTCCTGGTGTAACGTTCTCTCAGTCGTCGCACATCGGGGGAGAGCTACGGATATCGTCACGGCAACAACACAGGCCATGGGTGAGAGCGCAATAACATGGTAACATGGGGAAGAGGAAGGAACGAAGGGGTAAGCATAAAGGTGAGGGAAACTAAGGGATGAGGGCAAGGCAAAATCAGGATCAACCACAAAAGCATATGCAAGAGAAATTACTGGCACAATGGGTGTGGCTTAAATCTTAAATCAAAGCAGCATGGGATGGACAGAGGAAGATACAATTTTGACAGCATGTAAACTCTCGCTAATGCGAATCTCAGACAAGCACCTCCTTATTTCCAAAACAAAGCCACGGGCTGTGTCCAAAAGAGAGGTAGGAAGTCATCTCGTCCTAATCCAATGTTTGTGAAACATCCTGTCAATAAGATGCCTTCGTCTGATCTGTTTTCCAAGGATGCATCTATGCTGCCTTCACTGCTTCTGATATTCCTGAATCCTTTGAGTGCAGTTTCGCGATTAGTGGAAAGAATTAATATTGCGTCTGATGGAGCATTAAAAAAATTTCAGAAGAATATAAGAAAAAAATTAAATAAGTTTAACCATTCAAAAGTTTGCGGTTGGTCAGTTTTTGTAGTGTAATGTTTTGTGTGCATAAGAAACAAGGCAATAAAATTAAATATTATATATATAATTTAAAATATTATATATTTAAGACTATTTTCTGTTTTAATATATTTTAAAATGTCATTTATTCATGTGATGGCAAAGATGAATTTTCAGTAGCCATTACATTAGACTTCAGTGTCACATGATCCTTCAGAAATCATTCTAATATGCTGATTTACAGCTCAAGAAACATACCTTATATTATTATTAATGTTGAAAACAGTTATGCTGCATTTTATTTTTGTGGAGAATACAGGAATATACACTCACCGGCCACTTTATTAGGTACACCTGTCCAACTGCTCATTAACACTTAATTTCTAAGCAGCCAATCACATGGCGGCAACTCAGTGCATTTAGGCATGTAGACATGGTCAAGACAATCTCCTGCAGTTCAAACCGAGCATCAGTATGGGGAAGAAAGGTGATTTGAGTGACTTTGAACATGGCATGATTGTTGGTGCCAGAAGGGCTGGTCTGAGTATTTCAGAAACTGCTAATCTACTGGGATTTTTACGCACAACCATCTCTAGGGTTTACAGAGAATGGTCCGAAAAAGAAAAAACATCCAGTGAGCGGCAGTTCTGTGGGCGGAAATGCCTTGTTGATGCCAGAGGTCAGAGGAGAATGGCCAGACTGGTTCGAGCTGATAGAAGGGCAACAGTGACTGAAATAACCACTCGTTACAACCGAGGTATGCAGCAAAGCATTTGTGAAGCCACAACACGCACAACCTTGAGGCGGATGGGCTACAACAGCAGAAGACTCCACCGGGTACCACTCATCTCCACTACAAATAGGAAAAAGAGGCTACAATTTGCAAGAGCTCACCAAAATTGAACAGTTGAAGACTGGAAAAATGTTGCCTGGTCTGATGAGTCTCGATTTCTGTTGAGACATTCAGATGTTAGAGTCAGAATTTGGCGTAAACAGAATGAGAACATGGAACCATCATGCCTTGTTACCACTGTGCAGGCTGGTGGTGGTGGTGTAATGGTGTGGGGGGTGTTTTCCTGGCACACTTTAGGCCCCTTAGTGCCAATTGGGCATCGTTTAAATGCCACGGCCTACCTGAGCATTGTTTCTGACCATGTCCATCCCTTTATGGCCACCATGTACCCATCCTCTGATGGCTACTTCCACCATGTCACAAAGCTCTAATCATTTCAAATTGGTTTCTTGAACATGACAATGAGTTCACTGTACTAAAATGGCCTCCACAGTCACCAGATCTCAACCCAATAGAGCATCTTTGGGATGTGGTGGAACGGGAGATTCGCATCATGGATGTGCAGCCGACAAATCTGCGGCAACTGTGTGATGCCATCATGTCAATATGGACCAAACTCCCTGAGGAATGCTTCCAGCACCTTGTTGAATCTATGCCACGAAGAATTGAGGCAGTTCTGAAGGCAAAAGGGGGTCCAACCCGTTACTAGCATGGGGTACCTAATAAAGTGGCCGGTGAGTGTATATATATATATATATATATATATATATATATATATATATATATATATTCCTGTATTCTATATATATATATATTATTGAATTCTCTCTCTCTCTCTCTCTCTCTCTATATATATATATATATATATATATATATATATATATATATGTAGAGAGAGAGAGAGAGAGAGAGAGAGAGAGAGAGAGAGAGAGAGAGAGAGAGAGAGAGAGAGAGAGAGAGAGAGAGAGAGAGAGAGAGAGAGAGAGAGAGAGAGAGAGAGAGAGTTCAATAGAATAGCATTTGTTTAAAAAATACAAATACAAAAATACTAACAATGTAAAAGTATACTGTTACTTTTGATCAATTCAACATTTTGTGTTATTATTTTTTCTGACATAATCGCAAAGACTCATTCCCAATTATCCCATGCTGTTGTGAAGTCAGTTGTTGCTTGTTTGTCCTTTTGAGTTAGTTTTATTCTTAACAAGCCCACTATAAAAACTTTTGACACCTTTCGAAAGAAAGCCATTCCATTCCAATTATACAAGAACTGAAAAAAGCAGGGGGAATAACTGGTTAAACTGAGCTCAAATCACTGTGGTATTAGACTCAGCAATCTAATTCTTGCTTATCGCGAGTCGTCTGGCAGCAGGAATCTTATGGAGCCTAATTCAGCAGAGGTAAAGGTGAGTCTGGCCATGGGAAATTGGTTTCTGAGGGACTGCCGCCTGGGCAAAGTGTTTTCCATACCAGTGTGACCTCATGAACGTGTAAGGGCAGATAACACAGTGCACACAGAATTCAAATTTGCAGCAATATAGAGCAGTGTAAAAGTGTGTCAGTCACGCCCCTGCGTTAGTAGCGATTAGGCAAGTGCTGGCCAACACTGCGCTCTTGTGGTGGCAAAGCAAACCTTCACCATCGAAGTATCACAAGAACCTGCATCTCAAATAAATGATCAAAACACATACCAATCAATCAGCCTGCAACCTTGGGGGGTTTAAATCTTTTTAAGGACCTTTGTGGTTTATATTTATGAGGAATGTGGAAATGTGTCTGAAGATAAATCAGATGTTTGGAAGGCTGTAATTATTGCAGTTGTGGGGAATCTATTAACACACACGCACCTTGCTACGGGTTGGCGCCCTCTCAGAGTCGGACTGCTCATCATAGCTTTCAAACTCACTTGAGCTCCAGCCATTTTTGGGCCCTTGCAAGCCCTCCTCTTTCTGAACGTCCTCATAGATCAAGTCAGCTGACACAAAAAGCAATGCAGGTTTCAGTACAGTCCTGTTAATACTGTAGGTCTTCTGACAATGACATGCTGATACAAAGAAACATCTACCTAACATAACACATAAAAATCACACATATGCTAGAAGGGTGTTTCTTCAACTATGGGCACTTTTGGCCCATGTGGACTGTAAAATTGTTTTTTAGCCTTACAGCAAATGTAATTTCCACCATATCTCAAATGATACATTATGTTTAACATTGTGTTAAACATTATTTTCTCTTTTTTTCTTTGTCAAATATCTCATTTTATTTCAAGCATGATATATTAACTGATGAACAAGTTCACTAACTTTTTTAGGGGCAACATTTTTGATTTTGATGGAAATGGTGACATCTGTTGGTCGGAATGGTTTATCATCATTTGTAGATGCATATTTTATGAAAAATTTTCATATATTAAGACCGTTTGTCAGGATCTGAAAGAGTAAAACTATAAAATGTATTTGAACAGTAGAAAGATACATTATAAAATTATAGTAAAAAAATTCCAAAACAGTTTTATATCACAAAGAGGAAAAATCTTAAATGTGAATCTGTTATTTTATTATAAAAACCAACCTGCATAAAATTGCTTGCCTTGAAGTTGAAGAAACACCCAGATACGCGCAACATTAAAACACTGGAACTGAGAGATCTGTATATGCTGAAAGACAGACACAAACACATGACTGACCTTCTCCTGAGGACAAATCTTCACAGGGTACATCATCATAGATCACCTCCGGACCAGCCGTCTGGTGTTCAGACTCAGCAGAGGCATCACCTGCAAAAATAAAATAAAAAAATCAAGCGATAGTCTGTGACGTAGCTTTATCAGAGTGAAACGGGACTTGATTTTGTCCATCAGGTATTTATTTAATGGTTGTTGTTTGCTATTGCTCTCATGTGATTGACAGGTTGTCCCGCCAAGTAAAAGTCATCAGATAAGAGAGGGGGGGTATGGGACTTGTTTTGTTGACTCAAAACAAGTCAACAAAACTGAACTTGGCGGGCCATATTGATTTTTTCTTTTAAGATTATTTGCCCAGAAATTTTTCTTTTTAAACTTACCCAAATCACTGTTTTCAATTGATCAGACATGAAGGGAACTATGAAGAAAACCTGGACTTAAGGCAGGTCAAACAGCATAAATCTGGCGCAATGTTTAATGTTGGTATGATTACTGTGCTATAAAAGGATGTGACCTTATCTGGCAATCTGTCACCACATCAGAAAACCCAACACAACTTCAAATCGGACATAGATAGGGATGGAAACAGCCATTATGTGGTTGCAATTTACTAACACAAATGTTAGTAATTTTTAGTGGCATTTACCATTTTGGAAGGGAGAAAATAACTGGAAGATGTGCATTTTAAAACTAAGCACACTTCTGGCTTCTCAGTGCAATGTCACTTAATATTCAGCAATTTTATTGATTTGACTGAACTGACACATCCAGGGTATATGCAGGAATCTTGAAGTTAATTTTAATACCTTTTCAAGACTTTTTCAAGACCTTCTCAATATTTTTTAATACCTCACCGCCACTTCAAGCTGTAACCATTTACATCAGTGATACTTTTAACTTAACAGTTTTAGTTTGTCATAAAGACTATAGACCACTCTGATAAAAAAAAAAATCAAATAGGCTGGGATAGTAAATCAAAGCAAAGTTTATTAAAAAAACAAAAAAACTTTGCTCCACCCTCAACAACAATCATGCTGACATGTGCCTCAGTTCTTCTGTTTTTTTTTTTTAAAATAAAAATGACTGAATTCACACACTTTTACGATGTTTTTGAGACTCAAACTGTTGGACAGCTAATTCAGAAAAAATTAGGGATGCACCGAAATGAAAATTCTTGGCCGAAACCGAAAACCGAAAAAGAGTAACCCAAGGCCGAAAAACCGAAAGAAATTATGCCAATTATAAGTACCATTGCATTTATGGTTATGACTGTGTACAAACTTTACTAAAATCAAGGCATTGCAATTGCATAAATTAACATTTTCAAAGAATAAATCAATTACAAATTATGCAAATATTTATTTAGCACAATGCACAGTATAAAATAAAATTCAAACTAAAATGTTTAACTTGACCCCACTCATGTGTACATTAAATAATAATCTGCTGGCCTGCAGAAAGGTTTTAAAATTAAATGTTCTCTCATAAAAACAAAGCCGAACATGAACTTCTCATCACACCAGCACCCAGTTTGCACGTCTAAATTAGTTGATTACATTTTAAAAATGAGCATACAAGCATAAAAAGCCATTTTAATGAACAAAGGTCCATGTTTAATACAAATGTACACGAAACTTAATGAAATATGTTTAGTGAAATTAGAAAATATTTAAGAGAGCGTTAATTTGGTACATATTCCTATACATATTTTTTTGTAATGTCACAAGTAATAATCTCATGGTTTACTGGGTTTTACATGATTATTTTTGTATTGGTGGTGGTAGGCTACTAAAAAATAAACATTGTCACATGTTTATCTTTCTTCTTTACACCGATTCCTGATGGTTAGAGCAGAGGACAGTTACTTGAGTCGTCCCCTGTCGTTTCAAAGAATAGTACAACGGCGAGCGCGTCAAGTATAAACGCCTCGACCGTTTGGAGAGGTAACGTTATGCGCGCTGTCTGTGGAGACTCGCGCTGCAGAGGCAGGCGAAAGTATAAACAAGGCTTCCGTCTCCTCGCGGGTTCAGATCATATACTGAAATACGTCCACACCGCAGACATGTTGCTTCAGACAAGCACGTGCAGGTCGCGGTTTCTGTTTGCGTCATCACAACATTTTCACATCATAAAAGTCTTTCGGCCGAAAACCAAAAATGCACTTTTGGGCTATTTTCGGCCGAAAATTTCCGGTGGCCGAATATTCGGTGCATCCCTAGAAACAATACTTTCAAAATTTAAGACTTTATAAAGCCGTGATAAGACTTTTTAATACTTTTTAAGGGTTTTAATTTTCCCAAAATTGATTTATCACCTTTTAATACTTTTCAAGACCCCGCGGATACCCTGACATCTGTTAATGATTTTCAGTAGAGACGCACCGATATGACATTTCTCAGCCGATACCGATTGCTGATTATTCAGAATGAAATCGGACGATAGTTTGTTTTTTCTTATGGAAAAAAATCTCTCCCAAATAATGCTGCAAACTATAAAGAGAACCCTCTCATTTAGTAGGCCTACACTACTCAGGTTGAAAAATTAACAACACAGATATTCAACTGCTATTTCCAGATATAATAGTTACACTCAATTAAAGCTGATATGATTGTATACAGTAACACATATAAGGTAGTTTTCATAAGCACTTGTCTTCATGGAAAATGTATTCAAACATGATACATATATAATTAACAGTAAATTAGCTCCTCGCTAGTTTTTTTATTTTTAGATTACTAACATGACTTTCCAGTTTTATTTACGTATTCACGCGGTTGAAACACTGATTGAGTGATGACGAGACGGATTTCAGTAAGTTGTACTGTATCTTTCAACTTACCTTCTGATATTCAAGCACGTTTTTCTAATTTGTATCAAGTGGAAGAATAGACTTTTGCTGCTGCTTGAACTGAGGCTCTGTGTCACGTGTCACGTCACATTTAAGAGCGTCAAAACGCCATTTATTCTTTGAATTTCGTGATAAAATGGACATAATTTGAGAGATGATACTTTGTTTCTTTTTAGAAGTAACAAAGCACAGATCTATTAGCGATTATTGGATGAGAGGCGCTACAAAAAAATTTTTTTAGTAGCTATAAGGATAAACTGCAGATGTGGCAACCCTGGATTGAACTACGGGTCATTCATAGGGTCAAATAGAGCCTGCATGTCGCATTAACTTGGCCTAACTCAACACCAGAGATTTTCTTCATACACAGTGTGAGTTGCCGTCCGTCGGTCATGTTTTCCCGCACCCTTTTGATTGACAGGATAAAATCGGTACTGATCTTCGGCTGTTTTTAAACAATCGGCCGATGGCCAATAGTGAAAATAATTGCTTTTATCCGCCGATACCGATTGTTGACCGAGTAGGCTATCGGTGCATCTCTAATTTTCAGTTTTGTTCAAGGTAATTAAAGCAACAGATTTTCAATAACGGAAGAATATGTTAAGTATGGTATTTGGGGTAAAAAGCACCCCTACTGTTGGGGCGAAAGGCACAATAAATATAGCTGGCTGACTTCAGATTCAGATAGCCAAAGTTGGGTATCCACTTCAATCACCAAATTTATAATTAAACCATCATATTTAAAAATAAATATATATGTATTAATTATATCATATAGCCTAATAAAATGTCATATGTATCTGTTACTACTGTAAAGCTATACTAATTTATTATGGGATCTCATTCAATGCTTTCAGAATCTTCACTTTTTTAAATAATTTAGTTTCTTTACAGTATATTTATTGAACAAAAATGAATTATTTTATTTATCAAAATAAACCGAAAATAGTACAAACTTTGCTAAAGTGATTGTTTTGAACAACTTTAACTTAAACATTATTAAAAACATATTATTTTAGCTGAAGTATATCAATAAGTTGTGCCTTTTGCTCCATGCTGGTGAGTGCTTTACCCCGTGTGTAGGGTAAAAAGGTCCAACTTATACATTTATATGATTTTTAAACAAACAATCCACCTTTATGATTTATTTTCACACAAAATCTGTTGCTCCATCAATGTTCAATAAAAAAAAATCTGCAACCAACCATGGGAGTAGTGAAAAGCACATATTTCTTAAGGTTTGCCTTTAGCCCCATTGTATACTTTATATAAACGCTATGGCTGTAATACATTTGATTTTTGTCTCTTACCTTCAGCATTTTGTGCTGGGCTGTGTCTGCTATTCTCTGTTTCTGTGTTAGTTTTAATAGAGCATGTTTCCCTCTCTGTCTTCTTCACCGCAGTGCAAGTCTGGTCTTCCTCTTCATTTAAGTCCTCTGGTGCAGCAGTGTCTGTGAAAGCTTGATCTCTGGAACATTCCCTAAAAATAGAGCCATATTATTGCTGACCTCTCAAGATTACTGATACTGAGATCAGCCGAGATCAGCTCAAGCCTCAGACTGGGTGGTGGGTGGTAGGAGAAGGGAAAGTGTTCAGATGCCATCAGCCTCATAAAGTCACTATTACAAAAGGCACTTTTTTCCTGTTATGAGTGCTACAGTGTTTTGTGTAGAGTGAAAATGGAAATGTGGTAGAGTATTCAAAGTGTAAGTAGAGAGTAGGAAAACCAGGGCAATATGAGTTATGAGAATTTGATTCAATTTAAATAAATGTTTGTTATTTAAAGCTAGTATTGCAGGCCAGTCAACTCAGTGTTGCTTAAGTCAACTTCATTGAACTACTACAATAAACTCATATTTTTTCTGAGCTGTGCTACACGAAAAAGGGCATATATATTATTCATACGGTTTACCATAATAGGAAAGAATTTGATGAAAAATGTGTTCATGGGATAATGCTTTGAATGCTTCAAAATGTAACAGTGCTTTGGTCATTGAAATGTATTTCAGTATTCAATCTTTTTTCAAGCTTTTATTAGTGCTTTTAAGAGTAATCATCTATTGCCTCCAATGACACGGCATCACACGTTTGTATCAATTCACGCCACATTTTACTTATTTCAAGAGCAGTGATGCACTTCACATGCAATAAGGTAAACATGCCAAGTGCGAAATATAAATGAGCTCTGCTTAACTTTACAAAACAATAAAAGACACGATGGCTCGGTTATTCACTCTTTAATCGAGACCGAACTCTCTTCCATGTGTTGCCACTCTTGTCTATCCTCATGCTCACCTTCTCTAGTCCTATATCTCCCCCTAATGTTAATTATTTGTAAAAACAGTCTATATAGACACAACATTCCCCAAAAAGTAAAAAAAAACATTTCTCTCTACCTTAATCTTACAACTAATTACAATGAATTAACAAGGACAAAATGTCCATCCCAAGCAATTACACAATGTATCTTCCTGAACAGAAAACTGCTTGAGCACAAAACAACCAAGCTTATCTTAATTATAACAGGTAACAGAACCAACGTATAGGCAATGTATATAACTAATGTAAACTATACATTTACGTCTTGAAATCTTTGAGCCATGAGGGAGGTCTGCGCGTTCTTGACGGACATCCCTTCTCCATTTTATGGAGTTCTCCATTTTATCACAGGCGGAGGTTTCCTCCGCAAGCGCAGGTGCAGGATCAGGCATCTGAACAGCTTGTGCCAGTTGCAAAAAATGCCATTTCCTTCCATCCTCTAGTAAGTAGCTATTTGGACCCTCTAGTTACTCGATTCCAATGGGGTCGGAAAATTTGGAGTGTCCCTTCAGCACATGAAAGCTCTTGCACAATCGCACCCTGTCCCCCTCTTTCAGGAGAATCAGTTGTCCGCTATGCTTTGCGTCAGAGATTGCTTAAAAACAACTCGCTTGTGAACAGCTGCTGGCCAGAGAGTGCTGGCAGGAGGATGAAGGGTAACATCTTCTTCTGCCCATGGAGCAATTCAAAGGGTGAAACCTCCAGTGGTGGCATGTGAAGTAGAACGGTAAACTTGGAGAAAGTCAGTAACAGTACGCTTCCATGGCTTAGACTTTACTATAGCTGACTGTACGCAGTCCTCAAGAACCCTGTTAAAAGTGTTCTATGGCACCATTCGCCGCTGGATGATACTCAGCAGTGCGGCCTGGAGTAATGTCTCTTTCTCGCAGAAAGGTCGTGAATGCATCCGATTTGAAATGTTGCCCATTATCCGTAACCAACTCTACCGGGTAACCATGGCAACTAAAGACGCTATTGAGAAAGTCAATCAAAACCCCTGTGGTCATGAACGATGTAAAAGGCTACTTCCGGCCATTTGGAATGGTAATCAATTAAGGTAAATAGCATACCTACAGTCCCAAGCAGCTGTGTCAAATGGGCCGACCACGTCCATGCCCAGTTTACTCCATGGTGCATTTGAGAAAGGTACCGAAGAGGGTCGGTATGCAAAGGTACCGAAGAGGGTTGAAGAGGGTCGGTATGCAAAGCTTTTACAGAAACCGGCCATCCTTTAGCAGTTTGAGTGCGCACAGAGGTCAATTAAAGACACAAGGCTGTGGCAGTTTCGAACTCGGATGGTGAAATCGCAGTCAGGGCAGTAGACAATAGAGAGACTAGCTCTGGCTCATCATCAGAGTTGGGAGCAGAAGTAAGTGGAAGGGGACTTACTAAGTGGAATTTGATGAGCCAGCACGATACACAGCGGCGTCTGTGAAGCATAGAAGGCGAGCTGATCACTGAGCAATGCGCATCCCGGGATGTCCAGCTCCCCATGTGGACAGCAGGGTTGTCAGTGCCTGATGATCAGTGCACAGCATGAAACGTCTGCCCCAAAGATATGAGCACAACTTCTCAACGGCCGAAACACACACAGCTTCTTTCTCCACAGTTGAATAATGCCTTTGGGCTGGGGTTAAAGTTTGTGAAGCAAATGTCACTGTGCGTTGACTGTGCACCTGCGATGATATCGCTCCCAGACCATAATCTGATGCATCAGTGGACACTATGACAAGGCAGCTAAAGTCTAGTCAATGTGTTTTGTCTTGTACACTCATGTGTAAATAACTTTTACAATAAAAGTTATTTACCTTCTGTCGTTTGCAATAGCCTATGTCCTTCAGGCATTTGTAAATTTCTGTTCATATTCGCATTTTTTCATTCTCAATCGACATCCCACAACTCAAATTCGCTCAAAATAAGAATTTAACAGTCAAATGTTAAATAATCCATGTAGAAGCCATTACTAGTGCACCGACTGAAGCAGTATTGCAGATTAGAAGCTGTGAGGAGCAGCACACACTCCAACGGAACGGATGTATATTCAAACTTGATGGGTAGAAGGCGTAGCCTAGAAATTTAGACGCACCCTAGCGGCAGCAAAAACTATTTTGCAGCAAAGTGTGGTCTAGCAACTCTCCGTTGGCTTTTCGAACTGGAAAAACCTAACTCTGGTCAGGCCAATCACATCGTGTATAGAGTTGGTGGGCGGGCTTAACAATGACGGCAGAGATGTGACGGTTCCGCGTGATTTCCATAGGTGATTTCCCTGCTAACGTTACTTGAAAACAAAGAAGATGCTGCTGGCGAACAGCGGTCTTTCGAATCGGATTTGGCTGCGACTCTGGAGGACTTGGAGTTAAGAGAACGTAACTTAAGTCATTCTTAAAAAAGGAAGATGTGTTCGGAGTTTTGACGATCGGATACGACAAAAGTTTAATATATCAACTAGCTCCGCTGGTGGAAAAACGTATGGGACTCACAGCCACAGCCGTTGGTTGTAGCGCTGTCCTATTGCATGCCGAGGGATATTGAAAGACAACCGTTTATCCCGCCCCTCGGACTGATGTATGCCAATTGTGAGTTCCCAGACCTAACATCTTGATGTAGGTCTGGCTTGCCAGGCTATAGAAGGCGTGCACATTTGTCTTTTGCCAGATTCCTGTATGACGTTCAGATTAACCAAGCACGCTCAAACAACACGGAGAGACAGCAAATAGCATTGCAACTATACAAAAAAAAACTTGTTTTAAAGGGGGACTTGGCAACTCTAGCCATTTATTCGCTGATTTTCACTTTTGTTGTCGCATGTTTTCTCAACGAGCTCCCCCTACAGCTGTGCGGCGTATATTTCACAACACTGTCATAAAAAAACTCACTTGCGGCACCTTCCTCCAGCTTTCTACCGCTGCTCATGTGCATTTGTTATTATCGGAGCCAGCCAACTCTATCGTGTGGAGCTATGTCTACCGAGGTGGGTAATACATACACAGTAGGGGTGGAACGGTACATGTATTCGTACCGAACCGAAACGGTACGGGCGTCACGGTTCGGTGCACGAATTTACACGGAGAATACACGGTATAAAAAATAAATAAAACTTGCGTGGAAATTAATTAATGTAATGCGGAACTAGTGTTAGATACGCGGGTTTTTAGGGACACATAATAATCTGTACCATCGGCTTAGCTCTGAACCAAGGGGGTAATCCCTCGACCGGAAGTTGAAGCCGGCCGGGTGCCGCCATGTTGTAGCAGAACTTCACTTGCGTTAGCATTTCCATTGACTCCCATTCATTTTGGCGTCACTTTGACAGCGAATAACTTTACATCTGAGGCGTTTAAAGACTCCATTTGTCCATTATTTATTTCTAAAGAAACACGACAATGTATAAAGGGCTCCATTACCTTCTATGTTACATTATGGCCGCGTAGAAACAGTTTTAGTAAAAATAGGCTAACGATTGCGTCATAACCACTCGACTCTCTGTCGCGCTGTACAGAAATTACCGTACAGACAGGAGGAGAAGCTCGCTGGCAATCGGCGGGACGTCCCGTCAAGGGAGAAGCCCATAGATAATGAGTCCATAAAAGCAACGGAATACTTACTCCTGCTCACTCACGATAAAGGACTCTTTGCTCAAGTTCCCCGTCTCTGCAAGATTAACGTTGGCAATTTTCACGCACAGCTACTAGAAGATTCACGTCTGTCAGACAGGTTGCTCACGTCATCAAGCTTAGTTTGAGTCGGTTTGAGTCTGCGCGTCAGGAACGGAAGTGCTCAAAAATCGCTAAAAATGGGCTTCAACTGTCTCAACTGAGTTCCAATGAGATTGCTCTGTCCATTTCTTATACTGTCTATGCTCTGAACGCGCGTTCACTTCAAACGTTGGCTTATACACGCGTCCTATTCGCTTTGGACTAGCGGCGAACTAGACGCGATAGACACGAATTTAACGCTCTATTCGCGTTTGGTGTGACCACATAATGAACAGGCTGCGATGTCAAGATTGCAATGCTGGAGTGTGTGTGTGTGTTTGTGTGTGTGTGTGTGTGTGTGTGTGTGTGTGTGTGTGTGTGTGTGTGTGTGTGTGTGTGTGTGTGTGTGTGTGTGTGTGTGTGTGTGTGTGTGTGTGTGTGTGTGTGTGTGTGT